AAATTGATTAATTCAAACTTTGCATGATTTAAGAACATGATAACAGAAACTTTGGAAGCGACAGTAATTGGGGGTCACCTATTCCGTTTTTGAATTATCTGTCCTTGAATTTAAAAGATATGGAATTGATATTTCGTTATTATTCAAAGAAATGCATATTTATTCAATTTAGTATTATAAGGAGGAAAGGTGGCCTAGTGGAAATAATAAATGTCTCTCAACATATCAGAGCTAATGTTTGGGTTTTTTCTCTTTTGTTTGACAGTTAAATGAAGTGAACTCGAAAATGGTTCAAAGTAAGGCCTTTCACCATAATGAAATCAATAAGAGTTCACGATTCAACCAAAGTCAGTACATGTATTTTAAACTTAAAGGTCTTTTTTTGTACCTTTACATACCGGGGGTTAATACAGAATGCGGAGGCTCATTTTCGAGAGTTTAGTGCATTAAGTGTGTGAGTGTATAAAATGCCCGCAAGTTTGATATATATCATGAAAAAAAATTGAACACACATAGAAAAAGTATCTCCGACTAATAAATATGAAACAATGATCACATTACAATAATTCATCATTTCTTGAAAATTCATTATATGTTCTTGTAATATTTTCATTACAAAATTATACTACATGTATGTTATGATTTTATAAAATGAAAAGCTTACAAAAAAAAGGTGCAAATATTTCGTAATCGTGATATTTAAATAAAAAGCATAACATCTAAAAAGAAATCGACTATTATATTAATTATAATAAGTGACGATATTTTAAGTATCTTTACTTTGTTTCTTTATTGAAATTGATGCAAAGGTAAAATGGCTGATATATTGAAAGCTCGATCTCGTCTATTTCACATAAAAGACTTGATTATTAAGAATTGCTTATGAAAGGTAACTTTGTATCTTTCTTAGACGAATTTTAAAGATCCTGTATATGTATTCTCATGAGCAGTACTTGTTGTTCAAGTTTGAAAGAAGACCAACCATCCACAGGCAGTGTGCTCACAAATGCCTTAGCGGAAAATTTTATGCCTAAGAAGTCCGGGTTACTTTTTTATTCGTTAGAAATGTCAATCATGTGTTAAATATTGTTTTATAATGGGTTTCAATATAAAACAACTCAAGAAAGTAGCCTTAAACATGGAGAATTGTGTAATAAAAGTAGCATAATGTGAACAAAGAATTATTTTGACTTCCATACTCATTCACTATAATTATTTCAATTGCCAAACAACCTAAAGAAGCAAAAAATTGTTCATAGATTGTTCATCTTAATGACAAAGGAGTAATGTTTGGAAACTGTAACAAGGTGACAATAATAAAACGTCTTTGAGAAACAAAAAGAATAATATTTCTGAGGCATAATGAGCATTTAACTACATGTGATTAGATTTTAAACAAATCTGATATTGTTGTCAAAGCCATCGCGTCGGTAATAACAGCAGCGTCGCGTGTTTTCTAGTAAACAGTAAAATACAAAAATATCTTTGCATAATATAACAATTTCTAAACCTTCAAAGTTTATCTTAGCTTATAACATAAATTAATTTTGAGAAAAAATGTTGTATAACATGTAATAAAAATACAAAGAAATACAGAGTGACAAATTATCAGTTTTTGAAATAAAGATATTTGACGCGGATAAAAATAGTTGAATATTGTACAAACGAATCAAAAAGACTCCAAATATTACAAAAATTGTAGGAAAATTTGATGCATATTTGAAATGTTAATAATAAGTTGAAAGTATTTAGGAAAATATATATATTTCAAGGATTTTTCTTTTCATGCGTTTAGGTCAGAATGTGTAATGATTTCGTGGTACCCGTGGTTGACTAGTTTAATGGTTTGGTCCTCACAACTGTGGGTCCTCACAACTAGCAAATGACTGGATTCTTTTATGTCTTAAGGCATTATTTAGTGGAAAGTCGGTTGTTCTATTCACTAAAGGACACCTGTAGTTTTTCTATACCAGTCAAACTAGAAAATCACCATTATGACATTAACTTGAAATCCAACCGAAAAGAAAGTGAAGGCACATTAATGCACATTAACTGTTATAATTTGCATGTTTTGAGATTAGTATTTTGTCAATTTCAAACACCGAATTATTAATATTATTATTATTATTATTATTATTATTATTATTATTATTATTATTATTCACAAGTAACTGATAATCAATTCTTATGGAAATCACCATTTAACGATACACAACAATAACAATATTACGATAAGCATGGATATAAAACATTAAAGACTTTTGAAGAAGTATTTATAAATCTGTTTTAATTAAAGTCATTGTAGCTGATATTTCCGCAAAAATGTATTAGAAACTACCACTTTGTGCGGGAAAAAGAAAAAATCCAAGCATGATTTGGTACATTACAAGCAACAAACTGCCAAAACAACAACTCCCTGCATCTTCAAATTGTCGGATTCTGAAGTAAACCATTTGTTTTATTGTGAATATACAGTTACTCAACATATTGTTCCTCTTTCCTTTATACTTTAACCATTAAACTGATATTTTCTTATATTTATGATAAAACACTCATTTTTTTATCCGGCGACTTCATGCTCTAGCATCAAAACCTCTCCTTGTATTCTAATGCAAATAAGAAACTCAAGCCAAACACAATTCAGCAAGTTTCCCTTCTAAGAAAGAATAAATGATGAAAAGCTGATTGCTAAATATTTCCATAAGGGTCTCTTATAAAGTTTAAAAAAATGCTCACCGCAATAAACTTTTTTAATTATCCTTTTAACTTTGTCAGTTTAATTTCAACTGCATGTGTTGAACACATCATATGAACTTTATTTTAACCTTGTATCATGTTTTTATTATATTAGTTTATTTATGTGCAGCATGTATTTCACTCTTATCAGAAGATCTTTTGTTTGTTTGTTTGTTTGTTTCATTTTACGCCTTTTCCAAACAGTATTTCAGTCATATAGGCTGGTAGTTTCCTAACCATCGTTCCTGGACAGTTACACCAGTACTAGACTACCTTCCTCCGTGCTAAACTACCAAAGCATCTCCCGGGGATCGAACCCACGCCAGAGAGGTAACTGGATAAGAAGTCATTAACTCTAACCCCTCGACCTCGGAGGCGGTATAAGAAGATCTATGATGAGTACTATTTAAAAAGTACTAGATTCTTTCTACTCTACTTAAGTATTGAGGAAAGAAAAGAAACTTGAGGGAACTGGGACATGGAACAATATTAAAGGAAACAGGATTTGAATATTACACATTATTTTATCTCAATCAAAGTTAAAAGTAGGCGCATATTATTATGCCTCTTTCTATACAAAAGTTTTATGGCGGAAAGATGATGAAAAAGGTATGGTGAGCACAATGAAGTTATAACCACTCAATTGAATTTCTAGAAAAAAACACTCTGCTTCAAAATTCTTTCAGCAGTTTAAGTACTATTTCACTTCCTTTTATGTTTTTGTGGCTTGTTTTGTGTGCTAGAAAATAACTTGTAACGTTTTTTTTTGTTTTTTTAAAAAACAAAAAACTAAGAACTAATCGTTTTTGACGTACTCGGGGGCAGTACATCGGGGACTCTCTATAATATTTTTCCATAGTAATCCTATTCTGGCAGAGATATTTTGTTTAGTGTATGTTCATTAAAGCCACATTAAGGCTGTATAAACTATGTAGCCATTTATTCAGAATGAAATTATGTCAATCGTGAGTCATTATCAACAATTTCTTTAAAGAAAATCTCCTTAACCGCATGGTAGATTTTGATTTAACGTCACAGGAATGACCCATAGTGTCATCATTCTATCAATGTAAATGGATTCAGTATTTTGAAATATTAAAAGTAAATCACACGAGCAAAAATGTAAACTTAAAAATAAAATATTCTATTTTAATCCAATACCAAGCTATCCATATCATATATGTAGTACACAAATATCTTTGCGACCTACAAAAGTTATACTAGTCAAAATTTGCACCACCCTTTGGTTTACTTAGTATAATTTAAATACTTATTCAAAACATATTTGAATGAATCATTTACATGGTCTGGAGCTTTAGGTATTTGGCATGTTGCACTACTGGTAAGTTTACTTGAATTACTTCTAAACATAATAGCATCAACGACCTAGCATACAGTTCAAACTATTAATTGTGTGTGAATAATTAATTTTCTTTTATTGTTAAAAATGATGATTAATATATAATAGTTATTAAAACATTACACCGCAATCAAAGCTTAATGAGTTTTACATCCGAATCTGCTAACAATATAACGAGCCTGGCTCATTCACTTTTAATTTGTATCTTCATAATTGCTGTATTCAAATTGTTTTATTTGTCGTATTCATACAGTAACTATTTGTATATTATATGTTTATTCAATCTAAAAGTAATATTTTATACAATTTACGCACATACTTAAAATGAACTAAATACAGCAAAAAATGGCATTTTTGTAAAATATAAATTGTCAAATACATGACTGTGTTTTCCTTAGTAAAGTTCAAGTAGAAATACCGATTAAAGTTTTAGTGTTTACAAGGGCTCGTTAAGTTAGACATTTAAGTATACCAAATAAGTAAAATAGAGAGAAATAGAATCGCTAATGAAGGTCCAAAACGGAAAATTGAAATGTTGCTGGCTCGGTTTGACTGAGCCAGTTCGTAGACAGTACTGTAAAGTGCACGACTCCTAGCACCGGCTTAAGGTATATATTATCATATATAAAATAAATGAAAACTGTCGATGTTATTGTTTGTTTAAATTAAATTTTACAATTTCAGATGAAGCCTACATTTTCCTATTACTATTTACCTCTAAAAATGTTGAATGAAATAGATGTGAAAAAGGTCCTGTAAAATATTTGTGTTTAGAATGTTTGAAACTTAGAATGGTATTCATGTTAAAATATTTCAAGCTAATTGGAAATAAAACAATGAATTCATAATATTCCCATGGGTGGTCTTGAATGCTTAGTAGGCGTTATTCCATGTTTGATTGACGTTTATCGCAGCAAAAAGCCTTTTTTAACATTATGTTCATAAATCAGTGTCGCAGTTAATTGTTAGTTAAAAGCATTCACATGCGCTTTGGATAAAGAAAGAAGATATGTTAACTCGAGTTTACAAGTTGAGCTAATATGGTTTTCTATTGCATTATTTGCGTTTACATGGTCTTATTCTTAGGTAAGTTTAAAGTTTTGTTTTTTTAATAGAAATTGTTAAAACAAATAAAAGAAATGAATAGTGTATATCAAGTTCGAAGCTTTTAAGAATAGTTGAAAATCTAATATATTATAAGAATTATATATTATGATGTAAAGGTAGCGATTTTTTAAAACGTTGATGTTTATTTTAAACATTTTATACACACAGAGGAATTTATCATATTTTTATTATAAGTTTTATTTTAGTTTTTTATTGTAATAACAGCAGAACTCAATTTGTTTTAATTTTGTACCAAATGAAGTACATTTTGTAATTTAATTCAATATAACATATTTGTTTCCTGTATCACCTACACAAAGTGAATTATAGAAACAGTTTACCATTTAATATTTTGTATAAATGAAAAAATACCCTTTTTACATATCGATGCATTTTCATCCTCGTAAAAAAATTAGAACAAATACAGAAACAGCAACACACGATTAGTATGGGTTTTTTACTTACAGAAAATATTTTGTAAAAGGAAATATTGTAAACGGATATTTTAATATTTTATTTTTTTATTTATTGTACACATATCATCGGCAAAGAGAACACATTATATCTTTCGAATCTTGTGACAGTATTTAAAATAACACACGCAAAAAAACAACATTAATTATAAAGAAAAACATTTTTATTGGCTACTGTTGCCTCTATATTCTAGAAAATGCAAATTAATTTAATTTTCAACTGAGGTTCTAATTGAGGATGAATTTATTTTATTATCACTTTTAATTGTTATTCTGCATTATGTATGAGAGTTCATTAAGCTATACTTTAACAGAAGACCGAGTATGTTTAAATAAAAAAATCTGAATTAATTGGAATTGCTACAAACATCATCTTTGCGACCAAGCGTCGGTATGACCTTAAAAATATTACCATTTAAAAAAACTTTTATAAGCATTGATTTTACCAGTAAATGAAAGATAGTTTTGCTCTTTAATGGCAGCAGTATGGCATTAATTATGTATTTCTAATTTTTGGTTCACTTCATATAAAATAAATAAAAGTCATTTTTGTAACATTCTCCATATATACTTTTATTCAAAAATGTTTGTTTTTAATAAGATCGTACCATAACTTAGGATTTATGTATTACGTGTTTTGTATTGATGACTATGTACAAATATGTATACGTCAAATTATTATACATGTATATTATATGATCTATCTAACTTTAAAAGGATGAAGGAATAACACGCTCACTGTAAAATACTAATCTGATTAATATTCATTACAAATGTATTACATACATCAATCAAATATATATTTCACATTTCAATGTAGGTAAAAATGTGAATGAAATTCAGATACACACGAAAGGCAGATTAAATTCCTTAATATCGTATTAATAAGCTGATAGGAGATCCAGATATTATTTCAGATTTTACAGTTCATTAATGTAATTCAGAAGTAGAACATGATATCCCATATTTCCAGCTGGCACGATACATTTGTCATGGGCTATTGAGGGAAATACCTTTTGACCCTACTTACGCATCGTCTATTCCATGCATTATTTCACAATGAAAAGCTGGTTCGAATTTCAAATTCGTTATATATTTTTAAAAGGAATAATGATCATGAGCCCCTGTGTGAATCTCATTTTAGACAACTCTCATGTAATTTTAATTATTGATGACTTACTTGATTAACTTTGAGTACCACTGAAACATTAAAACTATTAAGTTATTTTTAATTGATAATTTGTTCAATTTTTAGACTGTTATATATGACACTCTTCGCATATATCATGCATATTGCATGACGAACTACGTTCGCAGTAGCATAGCGATGATTTAAAACAATAGATACATTACACCACATTAAATTTTGCTACGCTTGATATTTTATTTAGTAAAAACGTTGTGTAAACAGTGATATGTTTCAATTTCATATAGATTTTACTTTTTTCGCACAAATCCAACAGGTTTGGTTACTGGAAAAAGAAAATTTTAAAATATTAATATTTAGGATTGACCGATAAATGTTTAGCCTATGATTTGTGTTAACAAACCTTAAATATTCCAAAAATGATGTTCTTGCTGTTGTTGATTTAGTTTCACGTCTATTTTATTAGCAATAAAGACTTTTTACTGGTTTTATGTTCCTTTTGTGTATATAGACGGGGGTTAAATTACAAACAACCGTTTATAAAGGATTATATTATCCCTCAATTATCTTAATTACGCATTAAAAGATCATACGTTCTTTATAAAAAATATAATCACTATTGAATTAACAGCAGTCGTGTATATTTTATTATAATTGAGAAGATTATTTAATTAAAATGGATGTTAGAAACGGGCAATCTTCTTAAAACAGACTTACATTTATAAAACATTATTCCTAGCTTAACCCTTTTATTAACTTATTTAATCCGAATCAGTGACGGGCATATTGCCAGTTTAAACAAAAATGACCTTGTTATGAAAATTTTAAGATTTTTATATTATTTTTTTTTTAAATCTATCTCATAATATTTCGTATTGTTACATACAATTTTAATAATGTGCTTATAAACGACGAGCATTCAGTCTGATTTGAACATTCACTAAAGACAGACAGACAAAATCTATTTTTTTTTAAAAATGTTCACAAACAGTTTATAATATTTATATATTTTCTTTTACCTGATAAAAGTGGAGGTCACTGCAACACCTATTCAGCACACCTCAGACTTTAAATTTGCAAAATGCACGGAAGATGATTCAAACAATATCGAATGTGAGCCAGCAGACCTGAAAGAAACAGGTATAAACTATCATTTGAAATACCATTTTAACATTTTGCACACAAAAATCCACACAGTTTTCGTTTATATCACCTTTTTTCATACTAAGGATTTACAACAATTCAGTTTATTTCTGACATTTATTTACTTATTTTTATCTACTATCTCTCTCATGTTTGATATATGCTTAATACCTTTCAGATGTATTGATTCGGATACTTTTTAAGAAAAAAAATGAAAAATTGAATTGCACTGTTTTGTCCAATCAAATGTTAAAAATTGGCTCCCGACACCAAAAATTATACTCAAGGTCAATATAGAACGTTTAATTTCGAAAACGATTGTAATACACGTTGAATCTAATTCAAATTACCAATTGGATGGGTTTTTCCCGAAGAATTTATTGAATAACTATTATAGTTATCATTGCAGCTTAATATAAAAGTAAAGATTTCTGAAAAGAAAACGTATGACCCTATTATTTTATTCTTGCTAAAGATAATGACGAGTTAATAAGTGAATGGCCATCTGGACCATATGTACTTCCAATGTCAATCCACGGATGTCCGGAGTCATGGAAACAAGGTTGGGAAGAAGGTGTTTTGTCAATTACATGGGCGTCACAACTCAAAGTATTTACCCAAAACTCCTCGTCATCTGCCAATGATCCTACAAATGGAAGCAAAGCCATATTCCATGATGTTACAACAACAAAATGGCCAGAGTTCCAAACCTACGTATTTGGTCCGTTTGATGATAAGACATTCAAACTAAAGTTTTGCTTTAAACGTGCAAGCACCCGTTTTAACGATAAAATAGAATGGCCAGAGAAGGGATTTAGCATATATGGTACAAATGAAACTTGTCCCAAAGGTAAAGAATTAATTATTGCATCGTATTTTATTAACAAAAAATCAATAAATGAAACTCTATAGTGATAAATAAATCAAAACGATGTGTACATTAATAAGCTATCTAAAAATACATGTTCACTGCATGGCTAGATTAGGCAATGAACTTTGTTATTGTGATACAAATGTAGTAATATTTGTTCCTTTGTTTCCTAAATATTGAGATTAGACATACTGATTTTATCGATCTCGGAAAAGAGTACAAGTCAACAAAAGTACGTTACCGACATGCTCTTTAAGAACTAAGTTTAAAGTAAGAATTATGCTTTACTTTCATCATATCGAATATCCTTATATCAATTTCGAATAACTTAATCCTAAGGACAAATTCATTATTAGAAGTTTTCTAACATTTCGAAGTATTTTGTATGCAGTTCAATAACATTGATAAAGAAAGGTATTCAATATTATTTTCATAGGTTTTATCCGGAAATATCTTAATGTTATTCTTCCTACAATATCATACTGGTATACAGATGGATATACGCCCGATATTCAAATAGAGCAAGATACAAATTCCGGTATGTTCATATGTACTTCTCGTTATAAGCAGCAAAGACAAAACTGACTTTGACATTTTTCAATACATGCTTGTACTTCCTTTTTGGATGAATGATTATTGACCAGTATGATTGAGCAAAATATAGAAAGTTCATTGTATTTACCCACCAATTAGACGAGTACCTTATAAGACGTGGTCAAAATTGTACAATAAATTCGGTATTTAACTCTTCGTTAAGACGAGAAAAATCTAAAGTAATAAAAAGTTTTAAACATAGGGAAGAATTGTGAATTGTTGAACAATACTCGTTTTGCTATTCATTGTACGAATCGGGCAATTTGTCACTCTCATAATATTTCATTCAATTTTTCATAGCAAACTTGAAAATACTTCTGTGTTCGAGAATGAAGTCTAATGCGGTTGTGAATAATGGGGACTGGAAAGAAATAAATGCCTCTAACAGTTATTTCATATTAATGAAGGTAATTCAGTTACGCGATATTTTTCGTTTATATACTACAAAACATTTATACATACAAGAGACTATAACTCTTATAATAATATATTCAATTTACATGTTGTAGGCTTCGTATTTTATAGAAAACTTGAAATTTGCTTTATTTTGTGTATGTTATCCTTTTGAGGAAATATAAATACGTCTTAAATTATATAATTTCTGATAAAAATGTAGAGATTTGTAATATCAATTTACATGATAGAATTGGCAAAACTATATATATATATTATATATATATATAATTAAACATCGCTTTATTTTGTATATAATGTAAGACTATATTATTAAGATGTAAAGGTATTACATGCTTTTAATTAATTATAACATTTCAGCCCGATGAGTCTGATTGTCCACATTTTATTGATACAACTGTTCAGGGGGAAAGTATTTTCTTTGAAGATAGTGTTCAGAAAAACTCGTCCAGTAACGTTTTATTTGAAAACTACTGCTATTATCGACCATTAATTAGAAAAGGTTATTATATTTAGTTTGTGTTATTAAAGTCTTAAAAAGTTTTAAAATTGAATTCATATTTTAGATAGATATATGCTTAGTAGGTTATCTTTTATCATTTGCAACAGTTGCATATCATATAGACTTATGTAAATCGTTGTTTATTCTGAAAATAATGTACCAGATATTTAGGATTGCTGAAATAGAGAGCGAACTTGTCCCTGTATGTAGTATGATGTTTTTATCTATTAAGCAGTCATATTTTTGATATGGCAATTCAGCTGGAAACAATAATAGATATAGCATCAATTGCCTTCGTACCATCCAAACGCTTTTTCAAGACTTTATTCTTTTAAGGTAAAATATCTCCTTTGATAGACATTGTTTCTTTTATTTCAGATGTTATGGACAACATATTTGAGTCGAATAACATACAAGGTAATGTCAATTAAAACATACTCCAAATCGAAAATTTAATATTGACAATTTAACATTTTCATTACCTAATATAATTAAAAACGTCAAAATGAGTTATAATCCACAGATAAAACTTCACCCGAAAGGCAGTAAATGTTATTATTCTTTGAGAACAGACGCGACGATCAAACGATTTCAAACAAAAGATTTAAAAGCAAATGTTACAAACTTTTTGCAAATGTAGCTAAAAAATCTTTTAATTTACTTATGTTGGTTATATACTATATCGTTTACAATTTATCATCTTAGGTTACCTGACGCCATATGCTACTGTTATAGACGGATCGTTTACAAAAACTGCGCATTTTAATAATCCGAATATTAATCTTGGTAAGTATTGTCTTTAAAACCACATAGTTTTGCATTGTAAATCAACGAACTTCAAGCTCTAGAAGAGGAAAATACGATTTAAAAAGTGTAAAAAATGTAATTTTAACATTTTATTTTACATGTAAATATTTAAAATGGTAATTATCTACCTAACTAGCTATATGACCTTATAAAAGCTCGGCCAAATGATTTTTGCAAATGTAGCCAAAAACGTCCTTCCACTTCTAATTCATGTCACCTTTTATCTTTAAAAAGAGACTAAATGGAAATCATGGTATTGAGTTTGATATATCTATTTCTTGAATTTTTCAGACGAGCAGTTTAAACAAATTCACGAAGGCCCAACAACTATTATTCCTTGGAAACTTATAGACCTTGGAGGCTCAATGCACCTGGCATTAATAGAGATTATACTATCTGGTTGTTCTTTAATTTCTACACAAAAAATTTATACATAGTAATTGTACAGTGAGCTGTGCTAAATTTCACGTTTGAATAAACTTTAATGTGACGGAATACATTCAATAATCCCGTTTAAATAATTATAGAGCAGATTATTAGCATTGACAACAAAGACTACCTCTACTTCAATTAATATTAGAACAAAATCATCAGAAAATAACATTACATATGGAAAAAACAAACTTAGGCAAAAACAGAAATGATAAGCCGAACAATTCAATATCGCGGAAAAGATTTAAGAGGAATGCTATGCCTCACAATATAACAATAGTCACACTTTTATGTGTATTTTTAACAAATCACGATTGTTTTTGATTACTTAATTCATTCATATACTTGCAATAACAAATGTCATAACTAATTTTAATTAACGTATTGACAGGTGAAGAAATGTTGGATGGTAGAGATGTAGCTTGTTTTATAAGCGAAATTAGATGGAGTTTCCTTCATTTTGATGCAACACATTGCATTATTAGTGTTAAGCAAATTCTACAAACTTTGAAGTTGCTTCCTTTAAGGTAATGTATTATTTCTAAGCAATATAAAATGACAAGGATATTGTAAAACCTATTCGTGTTACATGCATTAATGATGAAATGAAAACGTTACAAATGTTTATATTATTGTCTTTGTTTCTTCAAATGTTTGTCTATCGTTTTCCGAGCTTATGTGTTGTGACGGTCATGGTCAGTCTTGATGCATATCGTTTATCATCAGGAAGCCTCCAATGGCTGGTTTAGTCAATCCGTACATAAGCTTTGCCTTGTATCTCTAGTAATGAGATTGTATAAATAATAATTATATTAACGTTCACTTGAACTTAAAAATAAATGAGAATATATCATTTATCTTCTCTTTCTTTCTAGATTAATGCACGGACGATTTGTTGCATTGGTGGATGGTCCAAGTAATAAATCATTGTTGGATAACATTAAAAAAATACACGTTTACACTTACAATACGAGACAAGGTTCTCATTCTTAATTTATTGTCTGTTTCTGATTTTCTTTAATCACAACCTTTAAAGTGTTATATATGCAGATAGACCTACTTCTGCAAACATGAATAGAAATAATTCTAAATATTGACTAATTTCACAAACCGTTTAAACTTATAATATTAAACTTTAAAAATTTATTTAGTATTATTGAAATAAGAAATCGACAAGATTGTTGTTAGTTCAATATTGTACTAAGTATATAAGATTTGTACGGCAAATTTGTTTAATTGGGTGGTACGTTTACTGATTTATGAAAAAAATATCAACGACCTACTGAAAAAGAAGCTTGACTGCTCGAGTAAATTTACAGTCATATGTGAAACTTAACAACTAACAGATTGTTATTTAAAAAAATATGAAAATATAATCAAAATTACATTAACAGAAACGACAAAGAGGTGTAACACCGATCTTGGAATGACCGATGGCAGCATTTTAGATTTTCAGTTATCTGCCAGCACATTCCATAAATGGTTTCCAGTTGCAAATGCCAGACCGTTCTCATCTGAATGGTGTGCATCGTCAACTGATCACGATCCGTTTATAATGGTATAATGCTATTTCACAGATTAATAAACTCATGTTATAAGAATCTTACACCGGCTGCTAATACAGACCGGAATATGAAGCTAGAGGGTTACAGTTTACCGCGGTAACAAGGCTCTGTTTAGTTCACCTAAACAGTTACTCTCGAGCTAGATATTCCTGTCTGTAACGTCAGTCAGTGTTTGATTATTTTCCTTGCATATTACACATTAATCATTATTCGGAAATAAATAACTTAACAAATAATTACCTTTACTTTTTAGCTCACCTGAGCTAGCTCAGAGTAAGCTTTTAGGATCGTTGAATGTCCGTTGTCAGCCATTGTTAATGGCATATATTTATTTTTTTCCATTTTACCACATTAAGTCATTTTGTAATTTTCTTTTTTTTAGGTTAAGCGATTCTTTTTAACCAGTTAAATAACATGAAACAAATATCGCTTATCATATAAATATCTCAGATTTTCTAAAAACCACATTTACTAACTATGTTACCATTAAGCCAACAAGATAGACCTTCAGGGGAGGACCCTAGATAATGTTGGTATAACTTTTGGTCCAACCCTTTTGTATGTACATGATATTTCTGCTTAAGAAAATGATGTTAGAAACAGTAAGATTGTGTAAAAAAATATGCAATAAAATATAATTAAACAAAATGTCCGTCGTCTGTCGTCCGTCTTCCGTCCACACTTGTTTGTTAACACTCTAGCGGTTACATTTCTGCATCAATCATCATCAAATTTTGTCAGAATGCTTATCTAGGTAATAGCTCGAATGAGTTTGAACATGGATTATCTAGGATGAAAAACTTGTTCACAAGAGCTAAACATAGAAAAACATTGTTAACACTCTAGCGTTCACATTTTTGTCTCAATCATCATCAAACTTAATCAGAATGCTTGTCTAGGTAATTGCTCGGATGAGTTCGAATATGGGTAATCTCGGATGAAAAACTAGGTCACAGGAGCTAAAAATAGAAAAATCTTGTTAACACTCTAATGGCTACTGTTTTGATCCAAATATCCTGTAAATTAGTCTGAAAGTTTGTTTTGATGATTTCTAGGTCAAGTTAGAACATGGGTCATCTCGGATGAAAAACTAGATCACACTGCCCAAATATGGAGAAACCTTATTAACACTCTAGTGGTCACATTTTTGACTCAATTATCATCAAACTTGGTCAGGATGCTTGTCTATGTAATTACTCGGATGAGTTTGAACATGGGTCATCTCGGATGAAAACTAGGTCACAGGAGCTTAAAATAGAAAAATATTGTTAACACTCTAGTGGCTACTGTTTCGATCCAAGTATCCTTGAAATAGGTCTGAAAGTTTGTTTTGATGATTTTTGGGTCAAGTTCGAATATGGGTCACCTAGGGTCAAAAGTTAGGTCACACTGCTCAAATATAGATAATCTTGTTAACACTCTTAGTCTATTGGTCACATGCGTGACTCACCTGTCATGAAACTTGGTCAGAATGCTTGTCTAGGTAATTGTTCGGATGAGTTCGATGGGTCAGGTGAGCGATCTAGGGCCATCTTGGCCCTCTTGTTTTCTTATAGTAGCGTATGACTTTACAACTTCATTCATAACGGTAAAATGACGTCATTCTAAGAATGCGCACGGAATTGACGTCATTTAAAGCACGCAACGTACCTTACATGGGGGTGTACATTAGTATTAACAGTAGATAATCCTGACTGATATGCAAGAAAAAATAAGCTTGCTGTGTGCCATGTTTTATACATTTACGCCAAACAAAACTTGTAACTTAATCTCCATATCTCTAGATTTCTCTAAATCATTTTCGGTCAGGTGTAAATAAAATTCTCGGAAATTTAAAAATTTAAGTCTAGTTAGACCACAGTAATGTAAGAGAACGTCACAGATACATACCATTTCTTGCTACAAATCAAACTATTAATTTACAATGCCAGCTGCCTCTTGGATTTCCTTGATTTTACATGTTTGATGCTTTCTATGATCGATAGACAATTATTTTGTTTTCTTTCCTTAATATCTTGTTGGTTTCTTCTGTAAATGATTTCAGGTTGATTTACTAGCTACCACACGTGTCGAAGGTATTTCAATGTGGAACCTGAAGGTGGGAATAGGAACTAATGTGCATCTGATTGGCAGCAAGCGAATTCAAATTTTGTTTGGGGAAAACGTGAGTGATCTGCAAGAATACATGACAAAGGTAAATTATAATACATTGATTGATTTATCATATTACGATTCACTACATTTATTTTCTGTTTAAGATATATAGATATACATATTGAATACCTTTTCAAATATGTGTTTACTATAACTACTAGGAATTTCAGTTGGATACCCTATCACCGGAATCACAGATCATGTTTATCAAACCATTTGAAGCTAGATTTGTAAAGATCAGAATACTTGGTGGAATGACAAATGGGCTGATATGCCTTAGATTTGAGCTCCATGGATGCAAACTTTCAGGTATAAGTATAGCCTTACATCTTTAATGTTTACAAAGGAAGACCACAAGTTGTTTAAAAGAATGGTATAAAATAAAGAAATTCAACACTGCAAGCTTTCTTTAATTACTAAGGAATACTGAAAAAAAATATTGTATCACTAAAGGACGTCTTACAGTGCAAAATGAAAAATGTTGAAGGCTCGGTTTAATTGAGCCTGTTTATGGACGGTACTAGAAAGTCAATGCAATTTGTATGGTACACACATTTTAAATAGTTTATTAGAGAATAATTTGATCTCTTTTCAAAATGACACGAATGCATCATATTATATAGAAATTTCACGATTATTGCTGTATAAATATATCTGAAGATGTTTCTAAATTTCATAAGTGATAACATAAAATATAATCAAATACTAGTATACTGTTTTTATTAAAACGTTGCAATGAGGGCATAGATGCAAACATTCTGATAGTTAATCATATCGTTTTCAGGCGTCTCAAATATCAAGCTATATAATTTTGCTAAATAAATCCATTATATCAAAGAATATAATCTACTTATATCTATATATTTTTATTATTTAAACAGAAAATGTGCAGGACAAAAATGTACTTAAATTGGTTATAATTCAGCAGATTCAATAAATAGGTGTAATAAAATAGTATGGCAATTAAATTTGATTTTTTTTTCTTTTTACTTTGGTAGGTATTCCATTGCTGAAGTGCAATGCGAGTAGTGAAATGTTTGATAATATGGATGTTCTTCGGTTGCCAGACACAGATTCTTCACACTTACGGAACATAACTTCTTTTGATGCATGCAAACAGAAATGTCAACAAGCACAAAACTGCAGTACCGCCGTGATTACTGACAACTTCGTTTGTTCAATGTATCATTATGACAATATGGCAAGATGGAGTGTTCACCACAATAAAGGAACCGGCTTCCAATCATCGACAAAACTTTGCTGGAACAGTAAGTAGTAGCCAGTTTGGTTTCAACAGTATGTATTGACATACATGAATAATATACATAATTTTAAATTATCTCAAAAGATATATTTTCAAACAGTACATTCTTTATTAATATGTGTGTAGATTCAGTCAGACTTGTGATGGGGAATACATTTTGTTATGAAAATCTTTAAATGATAATTAAATATTCACAGTTTAAATAGACATGAACCTATTTGTATTATATTGTAACAATTCTTCTTATAACGATGGATATTCCTCTATGGCAGGTTAATAAGGATATACATCTAACAAATACTTAATCCTCATTCACTCTTGTCTTTTCTTCATTACAACAATCTCCGCGTTAAAACGTCAAAAGTACAGTAGTAGAAAACAACATATTGTTATTACTTTCATGGTCTCTTCTTCTGAAACAACATTAAGTGATTTCATGACTTCATGCACTTCCTTAGCAACGTCATGTGTATTTTTATCTCTTGGTTTAAACATATTTTTATTCAAGGTAATATATACATGTTAATAATTTACAATTTAAGCAGAAAGAAATTGGACCGAGAGCAACGTACAATAGCTCATGACAGTCCTCTCCTTTAACCCTTCTTTATAGGGTTTAATTAAAATTATGATAAGCCATGTATTATATGAACATATTTTTATCTGTTGAATGATTATTGTGAAGTCATATAAAAGTATAAACAATGCCAACTGAAGGACAGCTAAATCCCCATCCGCAGCGGACATGAATGTGTACTTCTTCACCTTGAACCAACCACGACCTTATTGTTGTGCCATGCATATTGTAAGCACAGAGTCTCTTGATGGTGATTATATTGCCAGGGGCGCAACCTGGATGTTGTGCTCTGCAGATTATGTCAGGGCGGAGATCATTTGTACCAAGTAATTTGAAAATCTTTGAATTGTCAATAAGAGCAGACATGAAAAATATATGTTTTAACATTGGATCTTTGAGTGTGATCCTAACCTTGAGGGTAGTGACTTGTATGCTGAGCTTTGCACATTGTCTCATAATGAAGTTCATTTCTGCCAAGTTATCTTAAAAACATTCCAGCGGTTTAAATGTTATTGAGCGGACACAAAATGTAATATTTTTACACTTGACCTTTAAGTGTGACCTTTGCCTTACGGATAGCAACCCAATTATTGCGCTAAGCACATCGTTTCATAATGGTGATTACTTGTGCCAAGTTATCTAAAACATAGACGGTGTAAACGTTCTGGAGCGTGTACAAAATGTACACTTTTATCACTTGACCTTTACTTGTGCCAAATTTTTGTAAAATCTTTTCAGCATTTTTAAAGTTTTGGAATCGCAACGAATTGTAAACTTTTTAATACTTGACCTTTAAATGCGACATTGACCTTGGGGTAGCAATCCAATTATTGCACTCTGCACATTGCCTTATTATGGTTATCACTTGTGCCAAGAAATTTCAAAAGATTTTCAGAGGTTAAGAAGTTATGGTTTTCAGCGGCTTAATAGTTATGGAGCGGACACGAAATGTACACCTTCAACGCTTGACCTTTACGTGTGCCCTTGACCTTGGGGGCAGCAACCCAATGATTGCGCTCTGCACATCGTCTTATAATCATAATGATACTCACTTGTGCTAAGTTATTCAAAACAAATCAGCGGTTTAAAAGTTAAGGAGCGGACAGAAAAGTGTTACGGACGGATAGACGAAAGGGCAGAAGGTTTCACGGTCTAACGGGACAGTAGTAATGTTCCTACTCTATTGTTCTCCCTATTGTTCTTTTAGCCACATAAAAGCATTACGGAATAAATGACATCAAAGAGAAAGAACAGTTACCTATTGTCCATTTAGCCACATAAGTAACAGACGGACGGACTGACAGACGGAGGCCATTCCTAAAATAATCTTCCCGCTATGCGGAAGGGCATTAATTATGCAGTGGATTTGGTGTATAATATCTGATGTTGGTGTAAACAATTTTTACTAAGTAACGGGATGAAATATTTTTGTGGTTCACATAAACCATAAATCGTCTAGCTCAACACTCTTGCGTCTTACTTTCAGTATGATATACTCGGAAGGTATTATCAGAAATTGTATGATAAAAGTGCTTTTTAAATTAACACCTTTATAAGACATGCAGAATGGGTGTTATTGTTGACTATATGTTATTTACTTATAGATTATCTTGCTGTTGGAAAATCGAGATTAAAAACAACGCCTACAAGAACTACATTGTTCAGTCATATTGCAAAAGTTTTTGAAGAATCAGTAATAACTAGCATAGGATTTCCATGGTCATATGTTGGGGATCAGAGTTACAAATGGATTGTAAAATTCGATGACGATAATTATGTGAAGCTAATATTTACAAATATTTCGTTTCATAAATATGCAAAGGTAAATGATATTTATACAAACTACCTCACATTTGCAAAGAATACGCTGTTTTCATTAGGTTTTAGATTATTTTTGTATTCAATGTGAGTAATCTTCTGCTACTCAAGCTATTGCCATTGATATGTTCTGGATAGGCTGAGCCTATGTTTTAGATTATTTTTGTATTCAATGTGTGTAATCTTCTGCTACTCAAGCTTTTGCCATTGATATGTTCTTGATAGGCTGAGCCTATGTTTTAGATTATATTTGTATTCAATGTGTGTAATCTTCTGCTACTCAAGCAATTGCCATTGATATGTTCTGGATAGGCTGAGCCTATGTTTTAGATTATTTTGTATTCAATGTGTGTAATCTTTTACTTCTCAAGCTATTGCCATTGATATGTTCTGGATAGGCTGAGCCTATGTTTTAGATTATTTTTGTATTCATTGTGTGTAATCTTCTGCTACTCAAGCTATTGCCATTGATATGTTCTGGATAGGCTGAGCCTATGTTTTAGATTATTTTTGTATTCAATGTGTGTAATCTTCTGCTACTCAAGCTATTGCCATTGATATGTTCTGGATAGGCTGAGCCTATGTTTTAGATTATTTTTGTATTCAATGTGTGTAATCTTTTACTACTCAAGCTATTGCCATTGATATGTTCTGGATAGGCTCCAGGGTTTTCAATGGAATTTTGTGTAGGAGGCCATTTCAGAATTTGAGGAGGCCACTTGATTTGAGCACCGAAGGTGGGAACATTCTAGGGGGTCCGGGGGCCTGCATCACCGGGAAATTTTGAAAATAATAGATGTAAAATCATGTTATCTGCGCTATTCTGGGGACAAAATTTTAATATTTTGGACCTGTCAAAATATAGGAAATTTATGTCTAAAATGAAGCTGAACTCAAATGTTGAGACAATTCCATAATTTGTAAACATCTCTATGGAAATCTATAGTCATAGTCTTTTGAGTCCAGATTTAGTTTTTTCAGGGAAATGTCAATTGCATGTATAAACAAGAACTATTGAAATTGCAAAACAAAACAAAAGAAATTGTTCATGCGAAAATCATTATACATGAAACATTATAGTTAGGGATTTACTTGATTGTAGATGAAAATAAAGTAACAAATCAACCTTTTGGTTTTTCATTTTTTGTCGGGTTTACTATTGTAAAAACACATGTAATTGATCACTTACAAGCACACTATTTGATCAAATCACTGTTAACATTGCCAGCAACTATTACAGGGTTCAACGCTGTTTTTGCCAAGGATTCCACATCAGGTATCCCTCCTTAATGTCAGAGATTCCTCACATCAAAATAGTAAAATGAAAGTAAAGATTAACAAGGGAGTGCAACACTCTGATTTTATATTCTTTTTTTAGATCACATACAGGATATTGCCTTATTTCACATACAGCTTATACAGTTTTTGAGCCCTTTTGAAAAATTGCTGAGATGCTTCAAAGAGTTTATTGCAATAGGACTGTTACAATGAACATAATTAATGTATTTTACACAGAGACAGAAACGGAATAAGATAAAGCTCACTGGACATATGTTTAATTTGGAAATAACAATTTTGCTTAAACCTCTTCCAGTGGCTTAGAGTTAGAAATTAGGTAGGAAGTAGGGAAATGACTTCCATGGTAGCCCAGGGTTCACTGAAATAGAGCCCACTCATCATAATTATTCAGGTCTTAAAAAATTCACAGGTAATGATTAAGCTCTATAAAAAAAACGTTGCTCAAAGTCCATGACAGCTAGGATGTGTTATATCCAACTTTACTTTATACTCAATTTACACTGTTCAGTCGGACTCCTTTCTACCCAGTGTGTATTGAATTTTGTTTTAAGTTTTTACATCTGTCACATCAAAGGCATCACCGCATGCAGTGATCATGCAGTTCAGAACATTGATTGGCTCAAAGAATTGTCAGATGAAATATACGTCACTTTGTTTCACCTAAGGGTTTTTTTGTTGATGTCGGTAAATTATGCCTGACCTAGATTGACCTCAGAGAACTTTAAATAGTCACACAAAATTTTTCAGCGTTATTACTGTGAATTACCAAAAAGGATTTTAATCTTTAAAGTATAGATTATTTTTATTCTGTTTATTAATCATACCTTTAAACTTTGCACTAGGGAGTCAAATTAACAACAGAACTTTCCAGACTATAATTGTGAATTTTCGTCGAAAATTGTGAAAGAAAATACTGTTGCTGAATTTCTGCACCAAAAAAAATAAAATAAACACTGGATAATGCATGAAAATTTAAATAAACTAAACTTTTAAAACCTGTTTCATAGCTACGGCAGTACGTGTTTGAAAGACAGCACTTGTGAAATGTGAAATAATTATGCGATAATTACCTGTCTTTCCTATTTTCAAACCTTAATATTATGAAGTCAATGTTTGACCTAAACTTTTCTAGATTGTTTCTTTAGCCAAAACATTTTTGAAACAATATATATTATATCACAAATGAGTCGATGGACTGACCGTACAAAGAAAGAATAGCGTACACGATTCAACGGAGTAGATTTTATTGGCGCTATATTTCTTTTCTTTCTTGAACCTTGCTTTACTGACATGACTTTTCTTAAATATTTGTATTTTTATGTTCTTGATTTAGAATATTTTTCAATATGCACAGCAATTTATTAGGGATCCCAACGGAATCCCCAGGTATTCCTCCCGACTTCTGGAAATCTCAGAATCAAAGGATCCCGTTATCGTCAAACCGAACCCTGTATTAGGGGACAGATACGCGAACGTGATAGAGTGTAGGTTAAATACTAAATTTATTGAACAAGTTGAATAAAATCATTTAAATAGCTAGCGTTGTCGTCTGTCTTTCATGGCCGGTGACAGATTTATTTTTGTGTGCAAATTTGAGGTGGCCTGAATTTCATTTTAGGCGGTGCGGTCAAATCGGCCGCTAATCGCGTCCTAATGAAAACCCTAAGAACTATGTAAAAGCAAGAGTGTGTTCAACAGTACCAAGTGAAATCTAGTTAAAATAAAACTATGACACATATAGCATCAATATTTTTGTTAATTAATTTAGGAATATTCCTAAATTTTCAGAATGATTCGAGTTGTACAGATTCACTACTGGTATCAAACTTTCTGACCGGGAATGCAGAGACTGCGAGACGTATCACTAACAAGTTAAATGGCTACGTATTCATCATTGAAACAAGCGAAACGACCGTTATTTTGACTTTTGCTTCATGTTTTCCATCGGCAGATATAACAGAACGGGGCAATGGATTTCGAGCGATTGCCACTAAACAAAGTAAAGAAATAAATATTCCCACCATTTCTTTTAATTTACTAATATCATGCATTCAACAGTAACCTGCTTCACTCAATTACAGTAGAATACAAAATGATAAGATTCACTAATATGAAGTTCACGGTAAATTTATTCTATACAAAGCTGCACTTAAAAGCATGTTTATGAATGATAAAATATTAAATATTATTTAACGTTGCCAAAAGCATATATTTACTTGTATAATATATTTTAGAGATTCCGACATGTTTTTCCTTACACTCTGATCAAAGTTGGGAAGATGGACGATCGGAAATTTGCAGTAAAAAAGAAATGATTATTATGCCAATGTCATATTTTGGCCTTCCTTTTGAGAAAACAAAGGAAACGTGGAATTTATTTTTTCCAAGATATCGTATCGAGTTACATGTGATAGAATTTCAGGTGCCATGTCAGGGTGCTGAAGGTGGTAAGGCTTTTACAAGTTATCATATATGTTTTTAAAATACATGTAATGCAAGTAAAAATATCATGAAAGGACTATTTCATCTATGATTTATTTAACGATGGCAGATTAATATTTGTAAACTGCCAAAGTACAGTTTCAAGCCGTATAACCAAAAGGAATACTTACTTATTTTTTTTCCATTGACATCGATTGCGATACAAGTAATTGATACTTTTTGCTTAAAACGTCCATTTCCTAAAACCATTATTGGTACGTTGTCGTGACGCGAGTTTGTCTTAAACAAACAATCCCATATCTAAAAACAGGTACTCTATTTATTACATGTTTATCTAAGAACAAGGAATGATTAAAGTATTTCATTTCATAACAGTTAACTTTCAGAACGTTGTTTTCTTTTATTGGTCAATATATATTCAAATTGCTCATATTTTCAATTACGCGATATTCAGTAATAACCTTTTTTATGATTTTTAATTCCATAGGCTCTAAGTTCTATGTTGTCGATTTCGACAAGACTTTTGAATACTGCAATCTTAATATGCCACCGAAAAAGATTCATCTGTCGTCGGATAATGCAATAATACATTTCCTAAAGGACAAAAAGCAGGAAAGAGTTTATTCCGAAGGATTTGTGATCAGATACGCTCTAACTTATGACAGACCCAACGTTTCGTTCACTTTCAATGGCATTCGATCAAACGGTATGATAAAATAAATAGTTTTCCTAAACAGACATTATGTGATGCAAGTTTATTTTAATTCTTATGATGTAAGTTGCAAGCTGATTGGTTTCATATGAGAGGCAACTTAAATAGTGTCGTCACAAGGTCAGTCCTCAGATTTTTGCGAATAAGATGGAAAGATAGATACCTTACCAACAGCTCGACACGTGTGTTGGTATGGCCATGGTTTCTACATATGACTTATAGAAATAAATCTCTGAACTTTACAATATGAAATACAAATTGTTCCATCAATAACTGATCAAGAGCAAGATTGAATTCATTTTAAATTAACCTGTAAACATGAACTGTTACAGTAGCAAAAGTACGTAGTACACCTAAGATACAGAAAAACATTACTGAAAAAAGTTTAAACATCTAGATGTTTGGCTTGTTGACCAACTTATGACAGCCGGGTTTGTTTCATCTAAAATCGTCTCTCCTATCATTTTAGTATCTAACATTGCTTTGGGCAAGCCAACAATTGGATCAAGTCAATATGAAAAACATCGTACAGATTATGCTCCAGCCGGCGTAACTGACGGGATAATACATGCAGATCTTACATATGGTACCTGCTTCCATACGTTAACGGAATTAAACCCATGGGTTTTAATCGACCTTGAAGGAATCTACGTTCTTTACTGGGTAGAATTATACACGAGAATTGATTGTTGTGGTGGGTAAAATTATAATATTTAATGTGTCTCCATCATTTCCGTGATAAAAGACATCAGGATGTTTAAGATATATACTAGTACAGAAATAAGCATGCATTATTTATCACTTTCATTTTTGTGTTTGAATGTTGAATTACGCTTAAGCCGGTGCTAGGGGGCGTGGACCGTAACTTGCACTTTCCAGAACTGTCCATGAACAGTCTCAATCAAACTGAGCCTGCAACATTTTACAATTTTGCCGTGTTGGGCTTTATTTAGGGATTCTGTTTTTCTCTATTTCAATACCAGTCAGTACCTAAATGTGTTGATCCTAGGAAAAATATTATATATTATGTATGTTTGCCCATTAAATTTAATCCCTACTTGAGTAAGGTAATACCTCTCTACCCTTTAACCACTTCTATTTCAAAAATTAAATTGGAAATTAAAATAATTGTTCGTTCTTCTTGCTTTCAACTAGTTATCGAAACAATCAGATGTGAAAAACTTATTAAGGCTATTCTTATCTTCCATATGATTGCTTCCTATATGTAATGACTAGGATATATATATATGATTGGTATTTTGAATGATATAACCGCATCCAGTTCCAATAATATTACTATTAGTGTATATTTAGTACGTCATTTCAAGCTGATCAGTCTCTGAAATTAAATGATTTTGTTATGTGTAGTACCTATGTTGCTTGCTCTGGTACAGTTTGCAATCGTATCTACATTTCCTATCATATCGATTTTGCTAAATAAAAAAACATGTTTGGCATTATATACTTTGACGTGTGGCGTGTCTAAACTAAACTTGAAGCCCAATGCTTGGTCACATTGTCGGGTATATTTTTCTCTAAACGTAAATATTGAGAAATGATGTTTTTCAGACAAAAATGACGAATGAATGGTCGTAATATATCTTACAAGACCGACGTTATGTATTTGACCTGAGCTATTGTCATTAGAAAATTGATTGACTGTAGAAAAATGCTTGTTTGTATGAATGCTTTATCCAGATCATCGCCATGAAAACGCTGAAGTTTCTGCAGGTCTGGACCTAAAACAAATGCATGTCACTAGTGTATGCGGACGCTATGGGCCAAATGAAGGCGTGATAATGAGTGGAGTGAGAGCTCGATATGTTAAGTTAGTACATGTGTTTAAAGAGGAGACCATGAATATATGTGAGATAAAGGTTTTTGGAATTTTAGGTATGATATTTTTATTGAATATATCTTTCAAAAAAATTCTGCAGAAGGATATTTTAAAATTAATTGAAATAAAAATTCAATCGACGAATACTTAACTCTAATTGTATGACAATGCACATAGTTACATTTATTGATATACGAGTATGTTACTATTTGGTTTTGAGCAACTAAACGGCTAAGTTATATTGAAATTCGAACACAATTTAAAATTATGTTAGTATTTTTCAATTAATTTATTGAAAAAAAAACTATTTCAGAGACAGCGGTTGATTTATCAAAGCATGTTTTTCAAAGGCCAGCGCAAGGTATTTTCATTGTTTCATACCGTATAAGACTGAATTATATTATTTTGAATATCTTATGTCTAAAATGATGCAAAAGTGTCTTTATGACAGTTGTTTTAATTGTTCGTTGTACGAAGTTTGGTTTAATATTTTCTGTTTTTCGGGATCGTAAATTGCAGCATAAACGTGATGAAGCCTGAATATTCTTTGCCGCTAGTAGTGAGATCTCGAGATGTTGCACTTTTGCATTATCTCTTGTTGGCAGGCTCAATGAAACCGAGCCTGCATTTTTCTAAAGTTGTTTGCATTGCTTCCAAGGGATCTCTGCTTTCCCAGTTATATGCTATACAGGTTGTCTTTCCAGCTGGACATGTGCTAAATAAACCTTTTTGTATTTTTGATGTCTATTGATGATGATCTTCCACTCTTCTTATCTTTGGTGTTATTCAGTCTTTATTTCTTTAATTATTTTATTACGATAAGTATTTGCATCCCTTCATGTATCAGTCTCTTGATCCCATCTTCACAACTCTCTCAAGTTTTATTAAGTTACTAAGGAGTTTATCGTGTGTTAGTTAGGTATTTGTTCCAATTCAACCTATAACAAACTAACAACAGTTTGTTTCTTGTCTTTGTCCTATTGGTGATATTTCTATGCATACCGTCACTGTTGTGTTCAAAGTAAGTGATGAATCTTGAATTTTTATGATTTGCTATGAAGTTGATGGTCAATGGGGAAACTGGATGGCATGGTCAGCAATGTATTGTAATGGAACACAGCCCAGAAAGCGGTTATGTAACAATCCTTCTCCTCAGTTTTCTGGAAGGTCTTGCAAAGGACCAGATACCGTGTACAGAAATTGTGATCCAGTAGAAAATTGTAGTACGTTTTCATTCGATATATTTAAAAGTGTTGTTTTTTCTTGTGTGTGTGTATGTGGGGGGCTAATGAACCTTACACCTAGTCTTCCTAAAATATTAAACAGTTCTAATAATGCTAAGGAATACATTACACAGTCAAAAACAATTAGAAATATACAATAACTTTTTTGAAAAGACGTTTAGAATAGTGGAATCTGGTTTTGAAAACGGGTGAAAATTCTTCACCATTAGTATGTATTTTGAAATATTGTTCAATTGCAATGTAGTTAAGAAAATAAAGGTACATTAATTTATGGCTGCTTAATTAAAATTGTTTTAAATATATTGAAATCGCATTATGACATTGATATAGTATGTACTTTATTTTTAGTCAAAAATGTGGCTTTAAATAAAACAGCCACTCAGTCGTCATTGTATCAGTCTAGAACAGCACATTTGGGAATCGATGGTAATTTGAGTCAGGGTCAAACTACATGTTTCCACACAGAGAAAGACTATCAGCCATGGTGGCTAGTTGACCTTCATGAAGTTTATATGTTACATCATATAGAGATTCATGACTTTATCACTTATGGTATTAAAATGTAATTCTTATATATTTAATGAAATAAATATAATATTTGTAGCTTTGCTATAAAGAAATTGCTTTTTGGTCACCTCTTTTTCGATTTATATATAGTTCCTAAATTTAATAACAGACGATTTTAATATGAATTAACGTTATAGAACGTACATCTTCAAATTAGTTCAAACCAAAAAACTATTTGTCAGGTTTTAATTCTTTTTGTGCATTAAGCTTTGGTATGAGAAATGTGTATAATTATGATATGCATAACGTATGGTTGCTTAAGTCCTGCTTGTAGTTATTTAAAATTAAATAAGCACATCATTAACAAGCGAGGTTGTACACACGCGGAAAATGGCTGCGAAAGAATCTGAGCCATATACCAAAAAAACTACTTTTACTAATGTCTATGTAAAACAGTAATTTCCTTTTAGATGGAAACAACGTGTTTACACATGATTTAGTTTTAGCCTGATTCTCTCGGTAAACTTCCACCATTACATGAAATCAAACAGTTGTACAGTTCACCATTTGTGTAAGGAGATAAGAAAACATTGTCTTTTCATTTATAAGAAAGCAAATGAAAATGTTTTGCAACAAAGAAAGAATTTTGAAATAGGTCCCGAAATGTGAAGCTGATGTATGCGAGTGTTTTTATGTATTTGTATTTTATTGACGAATCTCAAAATAAAGTCGTGTCATTCTGCAGTAGATCATTCGTATTAGACTCGGTTGCTTTGCACCCAGATTATCTTGTCGGCTGTACAGATATTATATGACAAGTCAGAAGATTTGTTTTCATTTTAACTCAAAATATATTCGAACTATTTTAAATACATAAAATGTAATAGAAATGAAAATGTTTCAGGATTAAGTTTATGTTATTTTATAGCAAGAGGAACTCGGAGTATTGAAGTAACAACGGGAATAACAAAGTGTAACATGACTAGTTTATATTTTAAATGTGGAGAACCAATGATTCAAACCAAAAAAACGATTGAAGCAACAGGGAGTATCGCTCGATATGTAAAAATACAGCTTATGGGGGTCGTTGAATTCTTGCATCTTTGTGAAGTTGAAATATTTGCACAAAAAGGTGTGTTCCCCTGAAATTAAATTGACATTATCGTCATTATTATATATTTTTATTATTATAATTAGAAAGAAATTTCCAGGTTGATGGTTCAGTATTTTTATTTCAATACAGTAGAATCAATTTTATGATATGCCTGTTGTTTTACGTTTTACGATGTTTTAGTTGGGGTTTTGTGTATGTGATACGCAGGCATTATTACACCTGATCTTTAAAAATTCCATTTTTAGTCAGGCCTATAGATTTACAACACATGTATTCTTTGACTTTGGGTCTATAGGTATCCTTTATATTGTACTCGAAAAAGCGAAATTTAACTTTTGATGATGACCGCCTTATGTCAGGTCTTCGGGTGTTGCTTAATTCCTTGTTTATTTGAAATTTTACTTAAACCGGAGCCATGATATAACTGTAGCTTTATTACCATTGCCGCTAATGAATAGGCCTGGACATGCCTAGTCTGTAACAATTTCAAGTTTTCATGTTTTGCGGCCTTCATGGTGTCCATTTGCAAATTTCTTGTCATGTACAGTGAGTATGAATTCTTACAAATGAAGCATGTGTATTATTACAAATTTGATATCGTGAAACCATTTTGTTATTCATATGTATTTTTCCAATAAAGTGCCCGAATACTTTAGTGTAGTACAATTGATATATTCTAATGTTATGCTTGCTAGATGGAGATTCGCAAAAACAATGTGCTTGAATGTTATTATAAATGTATTTTTAAAATCAATATGAAAAAAAAACAATATTATTTGTTAAGCAGTGTTTTGATATAGCTGTAGATTTAGTAAGATTGTTTCTCTCTCCAGTTTTAGATCACTCAAAATTTGAAGAAACTTGTGAAGATAACCTAAAAAGCGGTAATTTCTTTTACATAAGTTTCAATTGTTAATATACTCGTACATGTATACAATACTAAATTCGGTTTGAATAAAAATCGTTTCAGTTTTCAGAATATTAAGTACAATTTCATAGTATTTCACACATTTGTTATCAAGCATTCTCACCAAAACAGTACATTTATATAATAACAATAATTTAAAAGTAATAATAAAATGTTTAGTACAATTTTATAGTCATCTTGTTCAAATTGGTAAAGAAAATTCATTTTCGATTTAAATGCTGTTTAGTGGATGGAAGATGGTCTTCCTGGTCACCATGGAGCACATGTTCTGAAAGTTGCGGAACCGGAAATCAAACAAGAACGCGCACTTGTTCTGAACCAGCTCCTTCAAATGGTGGCAAGATTTGTGTTCAAGAGGCCATAGATATAAGAAACTGTAGAGGATCATGCGAATGTAACTAATAAATGCGTGTTTTATGGTTGTTTTCCTAATTTTAATTAATTCTACTGATATGTCTATAGGCCTTCGTTCCGTTTTTAATGGATATTTCATTTATCGTTTTAAAGATTTTGTTAGTGTGCACAAATTAACAGTTTTAATTTGATATTCTGACAAAGGCATTTAACTACGTCTATTAAATAATAAAACTGTTGAGCTCTTTTGTATATAGTACTAATGACTTTTATTATAATTCATGCAATAAAAATGTCAATAGTTATTCTTACCCTTTTAACTGCTGTTACTCCGTAAACAATATTTATATTTATATGTGTGTTCACTTTCTCACAGTAATTTTAAAGTGTTGACAGTTTATTTCTATGAATGTTTTTCTATGAAAGTCTTAAACTTCTCTGTCAATAGTTATTTTGATACTATATTTCAATTTTAGATTGTATTCAGGAATTTAAGAAATGTTATAGCCTATACCCACAGCTCACAAACTGGAGGACAGCAGCAAACGAATGTTGGCATAGAGGGTTACAACTTCTATCTCTACGGTCTACAAAGGAATTAAGATATATCAAATCTCTTCTCAGGGAGAACAGATACATCGACGGTCAGCCTATTCCAGCTAATCAAAAAGTTAAATTGCATATAAATGCTGGCTATTTTACTCATATTGGTATGTTGACACATAACGGTAACATGTTTCTTAACCCTTGTGAAAATACAACCACCTTTTTCATAAGAATTTATATAAGACTTACATACTAAAAATAGGCAGAATCATCTACACTTTCTGATATAGTCTTCGGATATTTCAAATAAATCTGATTCTGTATTCAAATCCTACCTTTTCATATTAAATGTTTAATCCTTCCGAAGCCGGGTGCGGTCGATATCTTGCATTTATCACTACCTTTCATGAATAGGTTCAATCAAACCAAGCCTAAAAATCCTTTAGTAATTCTGTTTTTCTCTATTTTACATAATAATTCAATTGCGGGAGAATCTGAATAATAAATACAATGAAACATGTCGTTAAAATGTACTGTCTTACTAATTTCAATGTCAATTTACATTTATGTTATGTATTTAAAACTTTTTTCCAAATCTGTACTCGCATATACAGATGTTTGATTGTTAATGCGATTTAATCAAGATTAAAATCTTAATTGCTTTTGGATCACTTCTTGAACGTAAACTTGATTTTCAAACAAATGTAATGTTTAAAATCGTAAAAAAGTATGTTTTCATGATAGGCTTACACCGCATATATGATCAAGACTCAGGAAGAATAATATGGGATGATACCTCTCATCACGTGACATTTATTGCATGGTAACATTAATAGTTATGTGGCACTTTATATCCACAATATCCATTATCAATCCGTTAACTTATGCATTTTGCTAAAATTATTTCTGCATACTTAATCACACTGGGACATCAGGCCACACTATTTTAACTAAGTAATAAAAAAGTAATAAAATCCCAGATTGTTTTTCTTAGTCATATTTTAAGCCCAGTTATTTCATATTTAACGCTTATAACATGAGAGAATTGTATTTTTCTAAATGATTTATATCTTTTGGTTTCTAATCAAAAGGAAAACTGGTGAACCATCTGATGGAAATTGCACACGTATGAACTACCGGTTTTATAATGAAGATAATACATGGGAATCTGAGGATTGTGAGAGACAGCTAGCAGAGTATTTCGTCTGTGAAAGGGATATACACTCTGGTACAAGTATATCTTATCATTAACATTTTGCACGTAAATGTGATAACTCGTCGATCAAATGGCAAGTGTTTTAAGCAAGATTTAACATTAGAATTTAGAACACATTGTCAGTTCAATCAATACAATATATTTAAAAAAACAAATCAATAAGAAACCTATATAAATGTCAGACACAAATTAAGTTATTCTTGTCATTCCAGCCAAAGGTACCGATACAGCATATTTACCTGACAAGCGGAACTGGGTCATGATTCCAGAACAGATACCTACCAATCAATATAATGGAACAGTAAATCAAACGATGTCAGGAAAAACATGTTCACTTTGGGCAAATGAAAACAGAACGAATTTACTAGATGGTGGTGCATGGCTTCATGATGACCCAATTGAGGACACGATGTTTCCGGAGAGATCTATAATTGCGGCAGAAAACTATTGTCGTTCGCCAACCAATGACAGATATCTCTGGTGCTACACTGAATATGATCCAATTAAGCCATACGCCTTCGAAGAATGTGATATTATCAGTAAGTACGTTTATCTTATATTGTTAAACAGTGGATTTCTTATCAATAAAGCATAAAAATAACATTATGCACATTTTCCGCTGTTGAGTTGAGTTTAATTAGATACATATTTCAGAAGATAATGTATTATAATTGTGATATATCAGTTACTGATGATGACAGATATCTTCATTTAAATGTAAAACTATCTGATATATTAAAATTTGCCCAACATTTTCTCATCATTCGAACGTCAATGTTAAAGTCCGAATACTATTTACGGAATGTCCGTGAGTGCCATCGCTTACTAATTATTCTGGCGCTGAAGATTATTCTACTTATATGTCCATTTGGTACTTATGCATACCATATTTTCATATTCCGTAAAGGTCAAGTGTTGTTTAAGTAATTGGTATGTGTATATAAACATCTATATAATATAAGTATAAATTTAAACAAAATCCACAAATCTATGACTTAGAAAGCAAATTACATTCACATCAATTGTCACTGTCACTCTCACGTAAGGAACATCTACTGGCCATTGCCAATTTCCGCAACCATAACAGACATGCATTTTTCTTAAACTAGCATTTATTTAAATATTCATTTCGTTACTATTTAGACTATTATTAAATAATGAAGTTGTGGGTTGTTTTTTAACATATAATTTCAGTGCAACCTGTACAAGCCAACAACAGTAAATTTGACGGTTATCTAAGATATACGGGAACGCTAAATACAACATTCTCCGGTGAACCGTGTCTGAAATGGTCAGAATCGAATGCTCATGATTTTTGGTTCCCTGGAGAAAGTCTTGCTGGTGTCAGCAACTATTGTCGGGATCCCTGGAATAGCGGGTACCTCTGGTGCTTCACCAAAAATAAATCATTGCGGTGGCAGCCGTGCATACTAACAGGTTGTCATTAAATCTCGCATGTACATGTAAAAATTTTATCATAGAATTTGACATTTCAAAAAAAGAAATATAAAAATGTATTGTCAGTCTCTGCGATATTTTGTTAATTTCATACATTTTTCTTTTAAATAAACATACATTATTAAAAGTTTGAAACATGCCGATGTCATATTTATTATTTCGTTGTTGTTTTGGGGGGTCTTTTTGTTTTTTTTTTTGTTGTTTTTTGTTATTTTGCTGTTGTTTTTTATTATTAATAAACAGTTTCTATAATATTAATATTGGCATTAAAGATTCGCCAGACAGTGGTCGGGGAGTCGTTTATAATAAGAATGGCAGGTTTTGGAATCATACATACACAGGGGATGCTTGTCAACCTTGGAGAAGATATAATGATTCTGTAGAGAAAAAGAGTTTATATGATGGTAAGGAAGGGAACAATGTTTGTTGGAAGGGCTATACGACGGCTATCCCAATAAGTCATGGACAACATTGTTTAAATACAAAATACTCAATGGAGTTCTAAAAGATTTTAATGGTTATTTATACGCCATTGCTGAGCAAACATGCAAAAGATCAGCATGATATCATTTTATTTAATTAAATGACTACCTGGTAACGCAATCAGGCCTACGCTCTAACGTCATAAATACATTTTTTGCAAAATATTTATGTTTCTCCTTTTCAAAATATCACCTCTGTAAGGGACAAGCCACATTCTTACACAGACACATATTCTTTTTGAAATTCTCAACACTCTCAATTTTTAAGTCTCAAATTTTTAAGATAGTTTTCATTAATAATATGTTTAATTCTCTCGGCTGCTTTACTATGAGCATGCCATTTTTGCCTTTTTGTCACTTGTTACATATTTCTTATGACACTTGTTTAACAACAATCGCAAAATATGCAATTTTTCCACAGTTTTTAACTTTTTAAACGTAACTGTTTGTGTCGTTCAGCGCTAAATAACCATCTGTTGTTGGGCCGTGACAAACGTCGCCATTTTTATTGAGTACGGTATGAAGTCAAAGATGCACTGTTAACACATATGTTTTATGATTTCTTTGAAAATTCGCCTTATAGCATCTGGTAAAGGTAATCGTTAACGTCATAACATAAAGCAGTTTTCTGACCCTATTGACCACTAACTCCGTTTTGAAGATGAAGTGTTACGTTTGTAAAATGCATATATTTGGCGTATGCCGCATATGCACACCTCAGGACTGTATTAATGCTATAGTATATACACTTTCTTGAAATAATGTTTCTTATTTTATTTTAAATCGATGGTAATATATTTGTGCGAAATCATGTAAGCTTATAATTTTTTTACAACCATTGTCCACTACTTTGTGGGGCAGCCCTTGTAAAGGCGGTACAATGTTCGTGGTAAATTGGAACCATTTTCCGCTATCGGTGTGTTCAAATTATAAACATTTAGGTTTACAACATTATACATGCAATAAATCAAATACTAACTGTGATTTGATTAAGTTTTTTTTTCAAAACGTAGATCTACACCACACAGTACAAAGACAAATGTCTGCCATATTTATAATATTTTATAGTTGCACTATTTGCAATGTAAGATTGCTTTTGTAACAGACTCCTGCAATCTTGTTACATAGTGCTTCTGATCATTTTGTTTTCTCTTTCTCCAGCTATACTACGCAACAATAACATTTTTCGTGGCGTGAATGAACGCTACGAAAGAAGACAAGTCTTTAGGTGTAAAAACGGCCAAGTCATTCCGGGTTTGAAGAAATGTGACAGTAGATTCGATTGTATAGACTATTCAGACGAAACTGAGTGTTGGAATGAATATCAATGTTTGTTTAAGACTAATTACTTATCTTATAAAAATGAATAAACATTTATTATTTGTTTCTCTTTTTTTGGAGGGTGAATGGGGCTTAAATTTTATGTAATAAAAAGTAAAAAACCCATGGGCAATTCGAAAATATAACTTACACCCAGCCGATTTGATTTATTGAGTATCTTTCATGTTTGGTGGTTTCAGAGTTGCTACTTAAAGACTGTTAAATTACCACTGGAATATGTCTGCTGCTTTTTACAGTCTGCTGCTTTTTACAGTCATCTGTTGACGTCTGTCATAATTACTTATCCCTTATTTAAATAATATTTCATTTATTTCCATGGTTTTATTTTATTTTGTGTCATACTTCGCTTTTTATTATCACCATTTGAACAAGTTTGTGAATGTTTCTAAACTAGATTTTATGATCTTGTTTATTCCGACTATTATCTTGTTTATTTCAACTATTATCTTGTTTATCCCGACTATTATCTTGTTTATTCCGACTTTTCATCTTTAACCAGCTCATGCACTTATTGCCAAGGACATGCTATCTACTAAACTACCGACAAGTTTCGAAAACGGATCATTTTTCCACTGTGCTTTCTCGGCTGAATGGATTTCTGTTCTTGTATACTGTGACGGTATAATAGACTGCTTAGATGCTTCGGATGAAACGAATTGTAACCGATCTCTGTCAGGTAGGATCAGTTGTTAATTGTTTACAATAGAAATAGCATATGACTTTTTGTTGTTATTATGTTCATTAAGAATAATTTTCATTGATTACATTGTGTTTTGTCACATACAAAACTTAAATGGCATGTTTACGATGCCAATGTGCAAATCCAGTTAATGATTAATAAAACAATTTATCAAATAGTGGAGAAATCTGCAATTAAAACTGTTCTTATATTTTCAAAAAAAGCTGAACCCCTTTTTTTACTGCAGGCTTTCTATATTTGTTTGCCACACTAAGCGAATCAGTTCAGTTCAGTTTATATAATGTAAATTGAATGAACATTTAAACTGAATTGACCTTTTTGAAATAATGATCCTTGTTTTTACTAAATTAATGGTTTCATGGTTTTGTTTCTTTTAAAAGGTAACGTACCTTGTTTGCATGACCAGTTTCAATGCGGGAAAGGTGATTGCATACATATCAGTCAAGTGTGTAACTTTATTCCTGACTGTGTTGACGGCAGTGATGAAAACTGTGGTAATTATGATAATGATAATTATCATTTACTAACTGATTAACAGATTCATGGCTTTATTCAACATTTTATAGGAATTTTATAAAAATTCTGCAAAAATAGTAGTGATATGAGACTTTAATCGTAATGATTTTTACACGAAATATAACCTTTACGTTTAAACGTTAGAATATCAACAGACCATGTGATACAGTAATTCACTTTGTCGAATCACTGATTATGCCCAATATTGGTATGGCAAATATCATAAATATATTTTCATGCAAACCTATTTGCAATAAAACTGGTTTTCAGTAAAACAAATGATTATATTTTGGTTGCAGATCTAAAAGTATGTGAAACGACAGAATTCAAATGTACCAATGGCCAATGTATACCTGCTAACAAACGTTGTGATTCACGGAAAGATTGTTATGATGGAAGCGACGAATTCTCGTGTGGTATTGTCAATTTGTTTTATGATGATTATGTCACTACATTATTTCTGGAATAAATGATTGAGCTGAAAGTCTAATTAAATTCCGTATAATTATGATGCTTCTACGGCGTATGTATTTGCTTGATAAGATTCCATTCAACTTGATATCAATATGTATGTAGCACACTTATATTCCATTAAATTACCTGATTTATATGTGCCATGATTGTAAATATGTTATTTAAATGATATCATTTAATTCGAACCGTATATTTTTATAGAACAGAACAAAATTTTGACTTGTACAAATAACATACAGTATATTTACGATACAACTTGAAAAAGATATGTGATATATTTTATTTCGTTACCTTAGTGCAAGAACGGGTTAACTCTTTATTTAATTTGATACCAGTTAACCCGTTACTGCAATAAGGTGACGATATGCTAATTAGCCTGCAGAACAAACCGCATTCTCATAATCTCGTAAAATCAATGATAAAAACAAATCTATGTCTGTTCATTATAAATGAAAAATCTCAAGCTCACTAGTACGGACTTGTGCGTTCGATCTCAAACATTAAGTGTTCAGAATTCAATAAATCCGAAGAATCAGAAAAATATAACATTTCGGAGATGTGATATAAGCAAATTTACAGCTGTCACAAACCTTTTGACACTTGCCTTGGCGAGCATGATAATTCTCTATCCACACATCGTTGTAGATGCATGTGTACAAGATGAAGCATTTCATTGTGACGGTTACCGGTGTATCCCGAATAGGTTACGTTGTGATAAATATACCGACTGCGAGGATGGTAAAGACGAGATGAATTGTTTACGAACAGACTTTGAGTCGTGTGATAAAGTCTGGGAAGCAGGTTACAGGACTTCAGGAAGATATACTGTCGGTCAGATGATTATTTCTTCTTTAATATTTCAAAAGGATGCGAGTTTACTTTCCTTGAAACCTATATTTTGTGTCACTTTATATGAAAGGCAAATATAATACTGGCTTTAAGAATATTTCTGTTCTTTCTTTTGATATTATCTACCAACAACTTGAAATGTGAAATGCAATTGCTGCAAGTTTAAAGCTGGGGCAGCCTTAATATCTTTGCAGTCCAGGACCTAAACTGTTGGTAGCTCATGTTTTGTATTTTATTGTTAAATCCTTTCATTTCTGACTTGAAATTCCCACTGTCATAGTTGACGAATCTTGAATAATGCATTTAGATTGTGAAACAAAATATTATCGGACTTTTTCAGGAGGATTATCATTAAACTGCGAGTTTGGTTACATCGATACCGGCCGGGTATACACTATAGTAGATAACACTGATGTTGTTGGGGTCTCCATCTATAATGAAAGGGAAGGTGGGGGACGTGATTCTACTAATCTTTATAGTATTGCACAGAAACCAGGCTACATATGTAAACAAAAGGTAACGACATGAAGCTATCATCGCTGTCTATATTTTTCATTGGCACTATAAATTGTAAATTGTTAACTGTTCAATCCGTTTGAATATGCAAAACGATTTAAACTTGCAATACATACGTATATGTTTATTGCACATTGTAAATGTTAACTTTAAACATTTTGGTTGCTAGTAGCTCTGCAATCAGTTTTTAAGAATCTATTAATATTTACTTATAACTTAAGGTTGTACACCCCTAATGCACTTTATCCACTTTGAAGAGTATTCAAATAGGCTAGAATCACTGTAAAGTGTATTGAAACGGAGGGGCGTGGGTTCAAACCCCAGAAGGGGCAACTTTTTTTTTCTTTCTTTTTTTTTCTTTTTACCATTTTTTATTAATCTCTCAGATTCCTAATGGAAGAAAAAAGTGTTTCATTTTAATTATATAATTTTTGTAGGTATTTATTTCCTAAATAATGCAAAATTAAATAGCAAATATGATACGAGATATTTTCAAAATTTAATAAAATAAAAACTACACGGTAAAAGTATCTTATATTTTGCAAGACCAACTATTATACATTTGAGAAAAGTTAGGCAAAGTTTGAAAACAGTACCTCATTGTGGAAAATTTTAAGGATATTTAAAATAAGGCGTAGAGAAATGATCAAAAAAGTGTTAAAAGTGGGTGGGGTAGGATTACATTTTTATACATATTAAAAACATTTTTCTTGTTTAATTTGTTACGTAAATGTCATTATTTGTTTCTAAACAATGAGCAATAGGAAAACATTTTTCAGGATGATGATATTATAGATTATTTAGAGATTCCTCATTTCTGAAAAAAGCCCTTCTAATGGCAAAGTTTAAGTTCAGAAAAATGTCCATAACTCATAAACCACACGGTAAATTTTGTTTAAATTTTGCATACAGGAGACATTTAAGGCATATAAATGTCCTATGTTGTCAATTTTATAGTTCCTTATAGTGCCCATTAGGGGTGGTTTACCTTAAAACATGCAGGAACTGTATTGTAAATGATCAACGGGCGGGTCAATGCATAGAAAATGTTAACATTTTGCAGGAGAATCAACTTTGAGCACTGTCATTTTCTATATATCAAAATGTTTGTTTTATGTTTGCAATTGTTTTCATTTACAGATAAAGCAAAAATGTCCTCTGGCTTACACTGCGGCTGCCAAGTTTGATGATCCTAATTACGTTCACCGTTTTATCCATTGTGCATGCGTTATTCTTGAAGTTACCGTGATTAAGAATAAGCAGCAAGTCTCAAACAACACATTACTTATATTGCTTATATTTGAATTTTGTATTAAACATCAAAATTTTACAACTGAGATATTGCTCAATAAAAAATATTATTTTTGTGTTTTGTGCATTATGTTTAATAAAATATGAACATTTCGTTACCATGATCAAGTACTTTGATTAAGCCTCGCCTTGAAAATCATAAATGAGCTCAATCTAGAGACTTTTGCTATGTTTGTAAAGTCAATATTTGCGTTCCTTTTTAGTTGTTTTTTTTAATCCATATATGAATGTTTTCAATCTTTCATCTGCTGTATAATCTAGTTACTGTCCTTTTATAATTGTACACGGAATTTTGAAAACATTTCTTAAAATGAATTTAAAACTTGCAGTAAACATTTCCATTAGCGTATTTACATTTAACAAAAATGTATGCCTTTTAGGAAGGAAATGATGTGTATGGATAATTTAAACTACACAGACGGCGCTATACAAGAGCTTGCAAATAATCAGTCGAGACTAATGTTTCACTACACTGAAGAATTTATATACAGAGAAATGACAGTCAAATCCGGACTGTCGATCAATGATATAACAGAATACTTTCCTGGTCCAGTTGTTTGCAAACATGGTAACATTTGGATATTTAAAATCCCTCCATAACAAAAACTCATTATGTTAATTCAGTTAATATTCCAGATAACATAAGTATTTCAATGGAATAACAGTAGGAAAAATTATGACTAAACTGGAGAAGGGATTTGATGAATGAGGATATACAGTTAGACTATGCGTTACGAGGCGTTGTTAGTGGCTTAAAATACAAAACGGTGTTTTATCGTATAAAATATTCATGAATAGAATTACAGCAACGGTTTGAGCTAAAGAATTACTTGAGAATCGGGCGAAAGTCTTAACTTATATTTTACAAATGTTTGTAAATGTTACGCTTATCAATATCTGATATCGTTAAACGTTGATATCCAAGTACCTTTTATTCTAAACCTTACATTTCAGACTACAGACCAAAGAAAGATAGTGTCACGTGTGAAGGTGATGTGAAAGTCATCCCAGCTCATCTTAAATGTCTGTATGATGTTGATAGCAATGGTATCATTCTTGGATGCCGATCAGGGAGCCATCTTGACCATTGTGGTACGGTTTGCATGTCTTTGTTTCACTTGAGTCGGGTATGAAATAGTTCAAACACATCAAAATTATAGATGTTCTACACTCAGTTTGATTATGTCTGTTTATTAAAGGACAGCAGTGATTAATGCAAGCTGCCGCCATTGTCCTCGAGCTCTAATAGAATTTAACATTTTGTGAACATAGTACAACTTAGAATTTAGTTATACATGTATCTGTACATTTGACAGTGGGTGATGGTTGTAAACTACTAGCGGCCTAATAAAATATTTTATTGGGCAATTACTATACTACTTTGTCGCACTCCATCTACCTTTTTGCAATATTGTTCATCAAAAGTAGTTGAATGAGTTTAAATGCAATGATTTGATGCTACTGACCTGACATACTTTTATTAAAATACCGGACCATGAACAACCTCAGTTCTGGAACATTAACAAACTCAGTTTAACACATTAGCGATTATCAACAAAAACATTGAATTACATTTTCTTATATTTTCAACACTCAATTTCATGTATTTTTTTATTTTTATTCAGAGAGTTTTCAGTGTTTACCGAACACAGTTAAATGCCCTGGTAGTTATTGCATACCACTAAGGTTCATTTGTGACGGTACGGCTCAGTGTCCAGGTGGGCAAGACGAGGACAATTGCGGTAATGATTTTTATTCTTCTGAACATGTGTTGCCTTCCACGATTATAAAACTGTTAGTGATCAACTGTTACAATATTACATATGGTATATTTATTATTGTTTCGGTAAAAAGATAAAAGAAATAATGATAATGCTTTGTGCAAACCGCATAGGTAAAAAACTAATTAAGACAATAAGGCAAACTATTTTACTAAAATAATACATGGAGATAAATATATTACATTTTATTAAAAGCAACATGAAATGTATATTTTGGATTAGAATTAGATGAACACTAAATTTATAGAATTAGAAATCTTACACATACAGTAGCTTCTGATGTTTTTCTTTCTCAAAGCTTAGAGAAGTTTTTGAGTGTAATAAATTGTTTAATGAGCTTTATGATTTAATGCTCGACTTTTGTTAGTTCACCTGACCATTTTGTGCTCAGAGAGTAACTATTGTGATGACAATGTGTCCGTCGTTGTCGTTCCTCATACAATTTATCTTAGCAATATCTCCTCGACAACAAGTAAATAGACTATGTCCTAAATTGTCATTAGGTGATCCTTTACAAAAGTTATTTAAATGGTTGCAGTCTGATACATAAGTATGTCACAAAGGTTAAAATAGACTTTAATAGATTCTTGCTTTCTCTTTTTTAAAAATGGGATTGATAAATAATCATTTTCTCAAAAACAATATTTTATTTAACATGTCCCTGTGCCCCAAAATGATCCATATCTGAGAGTCACTTACTGAAAATAATAAGCATGTCTTACAATTCCTCTTCTCTGAAACTACAATACCTAGAGCATTAATATTTGGCATGTAGCATCATCTTCTGATCTTGCACAAAGTAAAATATGCCGTGCCCATGAAATCAAAATTTGACTAAGCCCTTGTTGTCAGTTAGTTTATATAGATTTATATAAACAGATTAAAGACTTCATGTAGAAGAGCAATACTTTAAACCTAGATCCTTTAACCTCGGATGACAAAAAGCAAAACAAAAGCGCACTACGAAGTTTAATTAGTTTATGTAGACTCCTTTTGGAAAATACATTAAATCCTAAAGAAATTAATTGCCCGAGGCTTAGATATATGTGGCATGTAGCATTTCCAAGCGGACTCTTCTTTGAAGAATTGTGATCATTTCTAGCATTGGATCTCATGAGAGTGATCTAGAACCACGACGGTACCCTTTGTTTACGTTTTTATTTTAACATTACAGGTTGTTCTAAGGAATACAGTGAGATTCTTATTCTTCATGACGCTGGGTTTGTTCAGCAGAAGTTCGATTTTGACAAGTTTGCTAACCATTTTTATACGAACATATCGACCATTCGTATTCTAAGCTACACAACATTTCAGCCACTCAAGGAGGACAATGACATAGAGGATATTGTCATGAGTGTTAAAGATACTTCCTTTGCTCCGTTTGCATCAGTTTACCAATTGCAGACGTACTATTACAAAATGCTTGCTAAATCATTTCTTAAACATATTATGTTCAATCAATATAAATCAGGGAAACAAGGAATAATTTTTCTTGAAAACAGTGATAATGCCAAGGCTGTAGCGAAACAACTATTTGAAAATATTTCCATGGATTTTACACGTAAGTTCACCGTTTATAGGGTTGTTGAAAATCCACAAGGAAGTGTCAAAAATGTTTCAAATACATACAAAGGTGTTGTTGATGTACCAATAAAGCGATGGGAGTCGTTGAACACCGTTGGTGTGTCTTTGTTTCCCGAGATATGTACTGGTATGTTTATTATGTACTTTGTTAAAAATTGGCTTTAGAACCCTATATTGATAGTTTGTTTTGTATCAAATCGTTGAGATGTTGCATCAATATTGACAGTTTATGACTTTAAAGTATAATATTTCAATATTTCTTCAAACATAATATAAGATGTGTATTTTTATCACAGTTTTATTCATAATGTATCCGAATGTTCTTATCTTACTTAAAGATTCTACAAAGGTCATTTGCCCAAATGCATATAGATGTGCTTGGAGTAGAAACTGCATTAGTCTAGATCAAGTGTGTGACGGATACGCTCACTGTTACCACAGAGATGACGAACGACTTTGTAACTTCCGATGCCCTGTAAAATGCCGTTGTAGAGGATATGCCATATTTTGTAGTCATAGCAACATTACAATGGGTGATGTTTATAACATGTCTGATACTGCGAGACTACTCGATTTAAGTAGAAATGTCAATCTGAGAAAAGTATTAGAGAACTCGCATCTGGAGTTTACTTCTTTGGCCATTCTTAATCTATCGCGATGCAATATTGTAAACATATCAATAGATGCTTTCCATGGTGTGAGAAATATCTTTACGTTTGATTTAAGCTCTAATGACATCAGAACATTGCAATCAAATGTATTTCGTCATCTCAAACACCTTCGGTTGTTACAATTGAAGGGTAATAGTAAACTTTCAAACATTGAAGCGGGTGCATTTAATGAATTAACTTTAATTCGAGAATTGAATTTTGCTAATGCTCAATTAAAAGTGATAAATGCATATTCTTTTGCCGGTCTTGAACTTGATGTCATTGATTTGTCAAATAATACCATCGTAGAAATAAAAGAATTCGCTTTCAGTGATTTGTTCGTGTCTAAAATATATATCAGCGGAAACAAAGTTACAAAGTTCAATAAAGGAATTTTCACAGGTGTAACAGGGCTAGCAGATTTACATACACCTGCATACAAATTTTGTTGTATCAGACCAAACTATTTGGACGAGGAACAATGTTTACCGACAAAAGACGAGTTTTCCTCCTGTGAAGACTTGATGAGACTCTCAGCTCTCCAGACCATGCTTTGGCTTATTGGATTGACAGCTCTCATAGGAAACGCTCTATCAATCATTTATAGATTAGTGTATGACAGGAAGAGGCTTCGGATAGGATATGGTGTATTCGTTACAAACCTTGCGGGAGCAGATCTGTTAATGGGAATATACTTGATGATAATTGCAACAGCGGATGATCTGTTCAGGAAAAGGTATATTAATTTGGTTATTTTCATCTCCAATTTTAGAAATTAGACACAGATATTTTAAGTTTATTCTGGAAGGAAATTGTTGTCAAGTTTCATCAGTTTTAACAGAAGTTTTGGAAGCACTGCAATTTTCCATGTGTTAAATATTAAGCTGTAATTAATCTATGTTTCCTTGAACTTGTTTGGTAATGATCTATGTTTAATCTAAAACAAAATCTTTTTTGGTGAAATTATAAATTATTAAATATATCTCTCACTGAATGCAATCAACGTTTATCTTGCACTGTTTATTTCATTGTTTTGGCGCCTGTATACTAATATGTCGATGATGTTTAATTTTACTAGTTCTTTCTGTTCACGAAATTTTTAGATAGTCTTTACTTGCCAATTATTTTTATCTGTAACGCTTATTTATGTGATTTATAAAATATTTTTATTTGTAATAATATAATAATCTTTTTATTTTTATACATCCATTAATTTGGAAACAATAATGTTACGTGTTGCAATGAATTTGGTGCACAGTCTGTAGCAGTAGTCTTCAACATGCCTTCAAAATTTTATTTTATAACGATATTTACAGATACATTTTCATGGATGATTATTGGAGGAACAGTGTCTGGTGTAATGTCGCAGGATTTCTGTCGACAGTGTCGTCTGAAGCAAGCGTTCTCTTTCTTTGCCTGATCACCATAGACAGACTGATTATGATCAAGTTTCCCTTGAAGCAGATACGAATAACTTGGAAAATCGCGCATCTGCTTTCGGCAGTCATGTGGATTCTCTCAATATTTATAGCTGTTATACCATTTATATTCAGCGGCTACTTTCAGGGTCAATTTTACACGAAATCAGGCGTTTGCATTGCCTTACCTCTGACAAGAGATCGACCACCAGGCTGGGTATATTCCGTGGCAATATTTGTAGGGTTGAATTTCATTACATTTGTCCTTGTTGCTTTTGGTCAGGTTGCTATCTTCATGGAATTCAAGAAAACAATTATTGCACATACAGCTAACGAAGCCAGAAAACAGGATTTGACAATAGCAAGAAACTTACTGCTTGTAGTAACCACAGACTTTCTGTGTTGGTTTCCAATTGGAGTAATGGGTAACTTAAATGTTTCCTTTCTGTCGTAGGATTTTTATCTTCCTTTTTATTAATGTTGTCATTGTTTTGCAAGCATTGCTAACATTTCTATTTGTATTGAAAACTTAAAAATAACATATGTAAAATAACCTGTTAAACTTCGGCCGAGTATCTTTTTTAAAGGTACTTTTTGGGTTTTTTTAAAATGATATTTCATGAGATAGCGTTATTCCTGTAACGATTTGATATGAGATAGAATTGTAAATGATTGCAAACATATATGATATTACTAGGAATGATGGCTCTGAATGGACATGAAATATCAGGAGATGTCTATGCATGGGCAGCTGTATTCATACTACCAGTTAACTCCGCCTTAAACCCGATTCTTTACACATTATCAGCTATTGTTGTACGAAAGGTAAGCGTATGTCATCGCCATTTAGTTATTTATTTCGTAGATACACTATTTTACGCGTCATTCATTATGATCAACTAAAATTAAAGCAGATTTATAGATTTATACGTGCATCATGTATGCATAAGTACAAATGATAATATTAAAGTGCATGTAAACCATTTTTCGTTATTATATTGTATTTAGTGTATTAGCAATTTTTACGCAGAAATTCAGCCCAAGTACAGACGAGCAAAACCGGACAAAAATATCGAAATGTAAGTAAAGTTTTCTATATGATTGTGACAATTGTTTTTGATTAACCTTTTCATTGTTGGTATGTTCGAATGCAAGATAGTGAGCAAAAATATCGCTTTATTATAACTCATGTATGACTTTGTCTACATTTTTGTTATCTCCGTTTCATCTTCTGGATTTTAAACTTATAAAAGAAGTTGTTAAGAATTGTATCGTGGCAGTAAAACGTTGTCCAATACTTCATTCCAGTGCTGTTATATATTTTTATTGTCCTTCGCAGTCGCAATGATTACTGCTTAAGTCGGTGTTACACAGTGTATGAGATGTTTGACTTTTTATTATCTTTCATTAAATGACTCAGTTAGATGTGTGTGAACTAAACCTAGTTATGTTTTCATTGCTCCTTGGTTTTTTCCCATTTCCAAAAGATAAAATATATATACATGTATTTCATTTAAGCGGACTTCATCATCAATAAAATAAGAAGGCAAATACATTGTAAATTATGTATTGCCATGATCTTGTATACTTATTGACGTATTTTACCTGATTTTTACAATAACATTTTTGCTATGCATGTTCGTTATTTAAATGATTGCTTCACTAGCACTGTGATGTTTTTAGGTGTCCAATTCTATTGATAAACGAGTACATTTGAAACATTAATTTCAATAGTTCATCTCATTTACTTTTAAGACACTGGTACACGAAGCTTGGCAATTTTTGGTGTAAGCAAACATTTCTGGAACCGATTCCTACCAAATTATCGTAAGCTTGGTGATATCTTGGAAACAAACACGGATTTTAGCCTTATGAAAATCCTCCAGATTGCAACAAGAATTGCGGGAGTCTTAGATGTGGTGCACGAAACTTCACTCGTAATTGAAAAGCTGGATGTTGATACGATATATGTACAGATGCAGAATGCAAAGGTAAACGCACATAAAATTGACACAAATGCTGGCGACAATGATGACCTGCATAAGCTTACACTATTACGTCAGAACAGTCTTCACGTGCATGTAGTCTGGTTAACATTTACACAAATTAAAAATTTACTCAAATTTAGACCCTTCAAAGTACAAAAAAACTGTTACAAATTCATTAGTGTAACTGTGACAAATGTTAGATTATTAGATACATTTTAGAGGTTAAACTCGCCATGATTAAGTAGGTATTTTTATGAGTGCACGTTTAAGTATGAATGCAGACACTGTTATTAATTATTGATCTATCATATAGATATCTGGGAAGATAAAGCTGAAGGTAAAACCGCAGATGTCGGTGAATGCCGAGGACAGTTTCAATGACATGCTGCAGTTTGGTAAAGTACTGCGAATATTGCTCGCATCTCGACACCACAAAGAAAGCACTTTATAACTTTTTTGCTCTGATATTGATTTAATGTCATTCTTGCCATGGTTGTCTGCAACAATAAAATGTGCATTATTTTCCATTACGACATCTTACTATGTAAGTAAGTGTTGTAGCATACAAAAAGTATGTAATTTACTTGTCAATGAATATAAAGTATTCCTTTATGTAATAAGATCTGTGCTACATTGAGTTTGTACTTCAACCACTGACATAGCTGTAGGATTTTATGAACGTAACACTATTAATTATCACTTTTTACTTAAAGGCGATTCCGAAATACTGCAATATTTATAAACGCAACTTAGTAAATTTAAACTTGTGCAGAACTATTTCTCAGACTTAGCAAAATAACAGAGAATCATCATTTATTCTTTTTTTATTTGTGTTCATATTTAGGAAATGGTGGATTGTTTTGCGTTTAAAAAATTAAAAAAGAAATTCGTAGTTGAAATAAGTTTATTGTAACAGCTTATTATAGGAAAATGGACATTAACTAAATCTGGCAAGTTGTCATTTGACCCCTTTTTTGTTTGGAAAGAAGAAAAACCAAAACCCAAAAACACTACATAGTCAGCTTTTTTCCTTTTATGTTTTGTAATTTTTAAAGTTTAATGGACGTTTTATAAACGGTCTGTAAATTATACAGCGTTAAGAGACCCGACAAAAAAAGTTTTTTTTTTTTATTTTTTGTTGTTAAAAATATAAATGTTAGATATTTTATATTTTTGTTCATATTGGTCCATAGCAAATATATTGTATGTTTTAAGATAAATCCAAAGACTGTTTTAACTTTTTAACATTTTGATTTTTATAGATACTAGTTTATTAAAACATTCTATACTTTTCTGGCGTCTTAAAATTGCTTTCAACCACTAAAAATTAAAAAAAAACTATGTGAAATGAAAAGAACTTAAGGCTAAGTGGGGATTTTAAATAATAAGTTTCTAAATTCTTCGTTTTAAGCTGTTTGACACTCTAAAAATTAGTTTGGTAAAGATGAGTTATTTCTTAAAGATGAATTTGTTATTATTACTGTTGTTGTTGTTGTTGTTGTTGTTGTTGTTGTTGTTGTTGTTTAACTAAAATTTATAAATGTTAGATATTTTATTCGTGTACATCAGGGTCTTTCAAATTTGATACGTACATAGATAATTATATTGAATGTTTAAAGATTTAAAAAAAAAACCTCTTCATTTGAACTTATTAATTTTTTGCGTTTTATAAATAAAAAAAATTCTAAACATAAATATAATACAAGTTTGAGCGTTTCAAAATTGTGATCAACACCGAAATTAAAAAGCTTTGAGAAATAAAAAATCATTTTAAGGCTTATTATTCCATTTTATTTTGTTCCGCCCATTGTTTTCTCGTTTAGGGCACACGCATTTTTTTACTTGGGGACCATATGCCGCTTGTCATGGAATTGCACTTACGTGTCACATTGAAGGTTCCATGATAACCGCCATATGAACACATCTGCGGATGTTTCAAAATTCAAAATTGTACCAGTTCATTTTAAATGTTGAATTCTGCTTAAGCCGGTGCTAGGGGGCGTGGACGGTAGTTTGCACTTGACAGTACCGTCCATGAACAGGCTCAATCAAACCGAGCCTGCAACATTTTCAATTTTGCCATGTTGGGCTTTCTTTAGGGATTCTTATTTTCTCTATTTTATTAGTATGCCTTTGTATTGGTCGTTTACCGCTGTTTCAGACTATTTGTTAATGAGTATGAATTGCTGTTATTGTTGGTGTTAAATTTTAGTGCGTACATGTAAGATAATTTATTTCTGTCCGTGAATTACTAGTATATTGTTTATCATTATAAATAAGACTTCAATGTATATATATATATATATAAATGTGTTGCTTTTTACTTCTTCTTTTAATTGTTTTTAGATAATGTGCAATGATCACATATAGAACCTTTAAACTGACCTACTGGCTAATCAGAGAATTAATAAGTGGATTACTTTTTACTAACTTAAAAAGAAATAAGTTGATACTTATGTCAAAGATATATCAAAGATTTATGTGGAGAAATGGCAGCTGCAAAGTCAATATAGCACAATCCTGCTAAAAGCAACTAGAAGTCAAAATATCAATTTATCACATTACTAAGGAACTGTGAAAGAGTTGTGATTAAATAAAAAATTTTAGACAATATTTTCATGAAATCTAGATTCTAGATTAAAGCGGAATGACTTTATTTTTGTCTTTGAGGTAAACTAGCATTATAACAAACAAAATCATTAAAAAACAACAACTACAAAAATTTTGATAATCAATGATATTCAAAAGCAACAAAATCAACTTTAATAAGAAAATGTTATTAACATAAGAAAACAGTTTAGATTTATGTTCTTACTAAAAAAGGTTTTTAAAGTATACTTTTTAAAGTATGCATTTCTATAATAATTTACTTCGGATAATGCAAAACAATTTCCTGTGTGTAGTTTTAAATAATGAAATCAGTATAGTAACAAAAATGCTACCGTTATAAAAACTGTTTAATATCAAAAAAATCATGATTTAAAATTTGCTTACTGCTGTAAAATTTTACAACTTATGACACATTATTGACTTATTATCTTGTATAAAACTTTTAATTGCCCATCTACATTTCGAAGAAAAAGATAGTGCTTAAATTGTGTCTGTCCGTCTGTCACACTTTGTGTCCGGTTCAAACTCAGCCATTTAGCAAGGAATTTTGAAAGATGTTGTGACCATAAAACAACAACGTGTCATGCATCCCAATCTCCAAGGTCAAGATCACACTTGGAGATAAAATGTCAACATTGCCTGTTGGATGTTATTTTTCGTGTCCGGATCGTCCATTACTTTTCATCCATCAAGGAATTTTGAAATAAGTTTTCACAAATATATACCATAAAAAGACATAGTGTCGTGTGCAACACCCAGACCCCTACCACCAAGGTGAAGTTCACATTTACAGGTTAAAGTTTAACATGGTCTGTTTTTTCTATGTCCAGAGAATTCCAGTGAAACTTAAAATAGAAAAAGATAACACTGAGAGAGAAAGTGTAGAATTATAAACTTCACCTTAAATAATTTTCGAATTGCTCCTAAATATTACTTATTTTTCAGTCATAAAAACTGCAAATATCTATTTCTGTTGACACATACAAGAAAATATTTCATTTTATGTCTATAATGAATTTATTGTTGCGGGTGCAAATCCACCATTTATCAAGATATTGCTATAAAAGTGAAACTTTTGAATAGTAAAATTGTATGCCTCCTGTAAAACTTCCATTATGCGGAGGACGTTGGTAAGTTTGTTACAAATTCTTGTTACGGATACTTTAATTCAAACTTAATCCGGATATCATCATGTCTCTAAATGTGTCTACTTCTTTTCTAATTTATGCGGCTGACAAAAATAATAATATAATATAATAAATATAAAAATATTTAAGGTTATCTCTTGTGTCAGGAAAACACAACTTACTGTATTTTGGTAGCTTAAGACCATTACCTTTGATACAAGGCAAAGAGACATGATAACATGTAGATGATGATGACGGTTTGAGTAGGCAGTCATATAAAACCATAGAAATCTGTTTGACTGATTATACATCCAAGAAGAAAAAAATAGTGCAAAAAAAATAACAAGCATAAAAATATCGGTAAAGTATCTCAAGATCATGAACAGATCAAACGTAAAGCGGTCCCAAAAATATTACATAATATTACAAATGCACATTCAAGATTACCACTCAAAGGCAGGGACTGCTTAAGATTAATGGTCAAAGAATGGAAATGTTGCATGAAACACCGAGACACCTTTAAGTTAAGATGTAAAATAAAAAAATGATTTTTTCTTCTGATTTCTCTGTTAATAGGCTTTGCCAATTTTAATATTAGGCTTTGCCTATTAATTGTAAATAAAACTGTGAGAAGATGAATTATCCATCTTAAATAGTATGATACCATGGAGTTGAATAGACTGGAGAAGCAACTTGTGACGTCACACAGTTAAATTCAGCATAGATGCAAAGCGTTTCTCGTAAGTTATCATATATCGCGGGATTTTCCGAGATTTGATGCATCCTGGGAAAAAGAAGTCGTAATACCGCCATATTGATTTCACGGCGATACACCGACAATAAAAGCGGATCATTTTCTTCTAATTTATGAAGCAATAGTTAACGATGAAGTTAAAGGTTGGTAGAAATTGATTGTAAAGAAAGTTTGGATAAGTCATGTTAGCTTGTTTTGAAGGAATTGAGTATTTTTTAGGAGAAAATCTTGTTGGAAAAATACTGTGCCGTACAGCGTGGTATATTGACAATCCTGCGAGAGCGGTCAATTTTAATTTGTTAAGGATCTCTAACTATTATATCAATACGTATAATTCTTGCATTTTCTTATGTATTAAGGATTTCTTAATTGAAATATGATGTTTGTTTAACTTCGTTTTTTTGTTTTGATGTGAGTTTTTTCGAGTTTTTTGAAGCGTATTGTATAGTCTGAACAGAGTTTAATACAGTATTTTCGGACATGTTTTTTTCCGGACAATTATAAGGTATTATCTGTTCATGGCCATAATTTATTTTCCTCGTCATTGTTTGAACTTGGAGCTCTCAAAATTATTAAAATGCTTAATTTTTAACAAAAATTTATGTTTAACTTTAAGTAATTTAAAAAACGTTGATGTTTTTTTTTTTTTTTTCTGGGTGCCCTGCTTGGGTGTGTTGGAGGTTGTGTCTTGTGAACGTTACCTTTATACCTGGTTGATCTTTATACAATACATACCAAACACAGGAAGTGTCATTATGACAGGAAATAATGTCTAATACTATTGACTTTGAAATACGTTATATCCTGTGTATATTCATGGAGTTGATATTGTAGTATTCTTTATATTTACTGTTTACATTGTTCAGGTGTGCTTAGTATTTTCTTCTATTTATAATAATATGTATTTTGCATTTCAATATTTACAGATGCCACAAAAAAAAGGATGGTTCCGTGCTAAGAGAAAGGCAGGAGAGAAGAGAGCTGTGCAAGCCATTGGCAATTATGACCACGAGTACTGTTCATTACCAAAGAGAACCACTTGTTTAAAATAAATAATGTATAAGTCTGTGATAGAGGCAAACAGAAACATTTTGTTGATGTAAACAGTAGTTTTTTGTCATACATTTTACACTTATACAAACACGTATTTGTTAAGTGATCATATAAAGTTCAAACAAATGAATATGTTTTTTATCACAAAAAATAAGGACATTTTTGGTATCCGCAACACAGACTTTCTAGTTAATAATCTAAGTTTGATGTTGTATTTCTTATCACGTACTGAGATTAAATATAGAATATGGTTGTAATTAGTCTTTCCTTCATCCACAAACATGGGGGAAATGCAAGTCTGTATCTGGCTATTATTATTTATAAGTATATCATTATATTTCTTATCACCAAGATTAATATTGTGTTATAATATAAATAAAAAGTAAGAGAGACTGAACAAACTACACCATGAATGAGGTTGTAACTATTCTTTGATGTTTGTTGATGAATTGATAAAAAGTAAAGGTAAAATTAAGATTGATCTCTTACACTCAGTAACTTAATCATATAGAGGTACTGTTATGTTTTATATGTTGTATGTTTTATTTATTATTTTGTTTTATTTGAATTAAATAGTAAGCAGAAATATGTGTTTGTTTTACATGTTATTCAATTTAATCCTATTTCTAAAAGCATAAGCTGAAGTGTACCAATTAAGTGATTTATCAGAATTAATTGGTGAAAATTGGGCTCATTCATAATGTTGGTATCAATCCCGCTAGAGATTTGGTTTGAAGAAGCTGAACAGATAGCTTACTAGAAAATCAAGTCTAACCAGATGCCCGCTTTAGCCTGATGCAGGGAAAGGGAACTAAGGTCTTCCTACACCAGTAAAGCAGGAATTTCGTCATATGACCTCTTGCATGGTGCCATATAAAACAACTAAAAAGGAAAATATCTTTTAATATAAAATAAACAGAGCATACCTTTAGAAGAAGTGTCATTGTGCTGTCTTGAAACATGACTACGAAATCCAGATATCGTTTTCAAAGTTTTACTACAATGTGGGCACACGTACATAACCTATCACTGACATTGCTAATTTACTTTCACTTTTCTCTGATTTTTTCGGATTCAAACTCCGAATCACTGTCATCTAAATAATAATCGGTATATTCCCCATCAAACAGCTCTGACAAATTTAAATCATCCCCTGATAGAAAATCTGAATTTGATTTTTTGGTTTTTAAGGAAGCCATAGTTACATGAACATTAACACATTTGAATTTAAAAATAAGCCCACAGGAAAGTTTTAGACGATTTATTGAAGGCATTATTACTCAAAAAAGGTGGGAATATGTTAATTGCTATGCTCTACTGCTAACTGGTAAACGTCTTTATAATTATTAATGACGCACGTGTAACATTAAATAAATGCCGCATTCATTTCTACATATATATATATATATATATATATATATATATATAATATATATATATATATATATATATATATATATATATATATATATATATATATATATATATATATATATAGGTAATTATAGAGCTAATTTAAGTATTATCAAATCGGCTTGATCTAAGAGTGTGCCCTTCATTGTGAAAAACATCGCAATTAAGAAAAAAATAAATACAATCAAATCAAACAGTAATATAGCGCAATTATCGCCCCAAAGAATAAACAATTGGTTATAACCCTGAGATTAAAAATACTTGAAATATGGATTTGATTTAAAAGGGGAATTGCAAAAAAATAAAAATAAAATAAATTTATCATAAATAACATTTTATTCCTTTAATTGTTGATTTTTTATCGTAATTTACAATACAACGGCAATGTAAACATTGATTAACGGATATCGCCGAAGTTTAACGAATCCGGGTCAGCTCGGCCCTAAAACATACTCGGCCCCCGAGTCAGCTCGGCCCTATTCCAACTCGGCACGGGTCAACTCGGCCCACTTTTAAAAATGGGTAAAGGTTATCAAAGGACTCCTATTGTCACGGGCTATTATTATCAATCAATGTGTATGTTAAAAATATCGATTAATTATTATTAATGATAATTAGGATTGACTTATTCATTCAAATTTGATTAGTGACCACCTGCAATTAATTAGAAGCTTATATGCTATTAAGTAAACACGTTTTTGTTTCATATTTTTTTGAAAATTACTTTACAAACAAAATGCACCTAAGGAAACACATTTTTATTATATCTATATTCACAGGCACAAGTATCGGACCTGGGAAGAAAAAATATGAAGTTATTTTATCAATCTGTTCATATTTTTTCTTCCCAGGTTCGATAATCGTGCCTGTGTCTATATTAATTTTATAGAATCTGCAAGACAAATAAATAACTTTTTTCTTCTAAATATACTTTATTTCAGCAGAGGTACAATGTATAATTATATGATAATAATAAGATATTTCTTATTATTCATTTACCTTAACAACATGCAAAGCAAAGTAAAGTAAATACGTTATAGGCCTATATATTTTTGAAAAGTGGGCCGAGTTGACCCGTGCCGAGTTGACCCGTGCCGAGTTAGTATAGGGCCGAGTTGACTCTTTTCCAGTTTAACGAGTGCGCGAAAATCGGAGACTAGCGGGAAAATCCGATAATTACCGAAGCGCGCAAAGGATTGTTGGTATAGATCGGACAGTTGTTTATTTTTCGGAGTTTCTAATCCGGTGAATGTATATCTGTGATGATACTAATGTATTAGACTTTTCTCCAAAACTAAACTAAGTGAATCAAGTCGGCATGAATACACTAACTCCACATATTTTTTGAATAGTCAACAGATTGGGCATACACTTAAATTTAAAGATATCTCTTATAGTTTTCAAAACAAAATTCAACAAAAGTTGCTTTATATTTATCAGATTTTTCAAACAAAATGGCGAAAAAAGTTCCTTAGAATAAATATGAGTTTTGACTCCGCCCACTTTCATATTTAATATTTCATATTTATTTATTTTTAAAATATGAAATATCTTTGACTGATATAGCACCATATTTCATGGGTAAAATTAAATAAAGATAAAGGCATTAGTGTGGTTCTAAAGAGTATGACTGTATAACTGTAATGGGCTGAAACTAACTGTTAACGGAATTATTTAAAGAGAGGCCCCGACATGTGGTAATAACCAAAAGTTTATATCTCTTTTAGGATGTGTTTTATATGTACATTAGCTAAAATATTGAAAATCTAAAAATCTAATACGCATAAGTACATGTATGTCACAGTTAAGAACTGTTCACTATGTAGCGGAGAATAAGTGTAAGCTGTCGTAAAACTCAGTCGGTAGAACGCAAACGTCCCAGGATCGAGTCCAGGTCAGACTGCACATTGTTCTCCCCCTGTGACAAGTACTTTTTAATTTGTTAACAAATTAAACAGGTACATTTTCATATGGTAGAGTACTGAACACAACATTTCCCCATGCATTTCTCACGTAAGGGATTTCATGAGTGTTTGCTTGCCACGGTCTACAACTTTCCATCAAAGCCATTTTAATTTGTAACACTATAAAATAACAGTAAATACTACAGGTAAGCCAAACAACAGGAAAAAGGTATGCATTAATAATCCACTCCACTCTATATATTTACATTGTACATATTGTAAAAATTGAAAGGAATAAAATATGTTTAAACTAAATCCACTCCTTCGCAATATGAAACAGTCAAGTGCACTTATTTTTTTAATGAACAAACGATTGGCCGAATGAGTGTTTGGAATGTAATGCACGGTACGGTACGGTTTAATTTAGTGTAGAAATTTCCCGCTAAGTGTCAAAAAATATAGTCTCTGAACCAATTTATAAAAATAAATCAAATCCTTATTTACATTACCAAATTTAAGCTCGTTTTAATATTTAGTTGATTTTTCTTTCTTTAATATTACAGTAATTAACATTTTTTTGTATAATTAATGCCGTATATTCAAAGGTTTCACTTATGAAATTGTAGAGAATATCCCACGATTCAATATGGCGGCTACCGGACAAATTTTGTTGCACAACTTGACAAAATATACTGTTGTTGCCAAATGTCATTTTATCGTCTGTTTTAAATCATGAATTGAGTAAGCTTTTAAAAATTTTACTCATTTTCAATTCGTTATTAGAGGATATTTTATACAGTTTACACGTGTGAATGCATTTTACGAACCCGTGCTGGTATAGTCCAATATATTAGACGTTACAGGCTTGTTATAGTTTTTGTCGGTCAAGCCTGACGTCTAATAGTTATTGCTCAAAAACGCATAGCATCATAAAAAATTCAAAAAATGTCTATTGTCCTGCCTTTCAAGCTTTATTCAAAAGCTTATCATATTTTCTTTCAATTTCATGCTCAATCATACACAAAAACTGTCAAACGATGAACTTATCAATTTAAAATCAAATATAAACATCAATCTATTTTGTCTATCAGCCATACTGGTTAAGCAAGGTGCTTTACAGATTGATTCCAAATTTTTGAACGGAAAATATATTCGAACACACTGACGGTGCATGGGCAATTATTTCGTTAAAAAAATATTCCGTTAGATTGTTCTGACTCAGTTAAACGCTTGCATTTGAATTAGCCAATCAGATTTCGCGCACTTTACGACCGCCATTTGTTTATCGGCTGTAAAAGGAATTGAAATACATGAGAGGATTTAATCATGATTTTTCGGATGTGACAGTTTAATTATTTTGACAAAAGGTATTTATTTTTTAGTTTTGTTCATAAATAGGTCAAAAAATATGTAAATACACGCTGTCTTCATTGTTTTTCGTTCCGCCCGATTTTCTGGCGGAACATGCTATGGGTTTTTGAGCAATTTCGATATGACGTTGCTTTGCCCAGAAGCAAAAATATCTCAAAGCGACGTCATATTTATAGGACTAGTGCTGGTAGTGCGAGGCCACGACTTGTATCCCTTGTTTTAATATATTATATATATAGATTAAATAAAATTATGACAGATTTCCCTGTGGGATTCACCCCTATTTTTGAGAATTCACCCCTATTTTTCGAGAGGCAGGGGGACAATTTTACATAGAGACAGAAGGGAAAAAATCAACAAATGTAGATCTACTAAATTTTGACTTTTAGAAAAAAATCCCTCTTATTTTTCAAATCCTAAAATAGACACTGATGATTGTATGAGTCTTTTTCAAATTTAAATGGGTTTTAGTCAGTCACAGGCCGCAGCGTGAGAACAAATTATGTGCAGCCTGACCGGGACGTGAACCCGGGACCTCGGAACACCATTCAGCCGCTCTACCGATAGCTAGAGACTTCAGCGAACAGGCTTTATACACAGACACTTGTTTAGAAGCGAATATAAGGCATTACTCCAGTATATACTTATATGAAATTAGGTGCTACCTATGGCGCGGAAAGCTCTTATGATTTATGATTTAAGCATAACATGTTTAGGGTACAAGTTAACTTAGATCTATCATGCAATTCGTTAATAAGTAAATGCAGGTATTTTGTACCATAAACAGAAACAAATAAATTATGGTGGTGTTCAACTTATGGTGGTGTTCAACCTATCATCGGAAGAGGGACCACTGCACATGCGTCAGCGTTTGGAAAATCCTGTCCGCCATTTTCTGTTCATCTCTAATCACATGTGTTGTTTTTACGTTATTTTTAATGTGCTAATTTATCAAAAAAGATTTAAAAGTAACTTTTATACGCCCGTTTGAAAAACGGGACGTATTATGGGAACGCCCCTGGCGGGCGGGCGGCCTCCAATTTTGTCCGGAGCATATCTCCTACATGTATGGAGGGATTTTAATGAAACTTTATAGAAATGTTCACCACTATGAGGAGCAGTGTCGCGCACATGAACCAGGTCTCTAGGTCAAAGGTCAAGGTCACACTTAGAGCTCATTCAAAAATGCTTGTCTGGAGCAAAACTTCCACATGTATAGAGGGATTTCAATATTACTTGGCACAAATGTTCACCATTGTGAGGCAGAGTGTCGCGCGCAAGATTCAGGTCCTTGCGGCCAAGGTCAAGGTCACACATAGAGGTCAAAGTTCAGATAAAAATATGAAGATGTGTATATGGACCATTTAGTCATCATTTATTGAGGGATTGTAACACAAATGGTCATTATCAAGACTATGGCTGTGATACATATAATTTAGGTCAATATATACAAGGTCAAGGTCACTAAAGATGATGAAATATCCAGATTTTGTCCGGAGCATATCTCCTACACGCATGGAGGGATTTTAATGAAATTTCATAGAAATGTTCACCATTATGAGAAGCCATGTCACGCACATGAACTAGGTCTCTAGGTCAAAGGTCAAGGTCACACTTAGAGCTCATTGAAAAACGCTTGTCCGGAGCAAAACTTCTACATTCATAGGGGGATTTCAATATAACTTGGCACAAATGTTCACCATTGTGAGGCTGAGTGTCGCACGCAAAATTCAGATCCCTGCGACCAAAGTCAAGGTTACACATAGAGGTCAAAGTTCAGATAAAAATTTGAAGATGTGTATAGGGACCATTTAGTCATCATTTATTGATGGATTGTAGCACAAATGGTAACTATCATGACTACAGGTGTGACACATTTAATTTAGGTTAATATTTGCAAGGTCAAGGTCACTGGAGATGATTAAATATCCAGATGTTGTCCGGAGCATAATTTCTACATGCATGGAGGAATTTTAATGTTACTTTATAGAATTGTTCACCACCATGAGACGTAGTGCCCTGCACATGAACCAAGTCTCTAGGTCAAAGGTGAAGGTCACAGTTAGAGCTCATAGAAAAACGCTTGTCTGGAGCAAAACTTCTACATGCATAGAGGGATTTCAATATAATTTGGCACAAATGATCATCATTGTGAGGCTGAGTGCCGTGCATAAAATTCAGGTCCCTGCGACCAAGGTCAAGGTCACACTTCCTGTGCATATCTTCCCTACTGATTTGTTTTAAGGTTCATTTAACAAAACAGTGCCAAGAATAAAAACTTGCTTGCTAGATAACACTTATCCATAATGCCCCCATCTCCATCTAAAGCTTTCGTAAACGGGCGTATTTTGTGACTATGGCACCCTTGTTTACATTTATCATCGATACTATAGTTCTTATGAATGAAATGAATGTTTATTTTCTGATTTTGTACATCATTTTATCACCGGAAGTGTTATTAAGCATGCGTCTGCTAGCAATAGTCTGAATTATGTAGACGCTCATTTAAAGCGCTGTGAAATCTATATTTAGCTCAAAAGGATTTCAAAATGGCGGCGCCCAGTTATTTAAGGATTTTTTCACAGCTCATTAGGTATAGGATCTTCGGCCCTGCTAGGACTTTCCGCGTATTAAATTATTTTAGATAGGTTTTACTTTTAATTCTTCTCAACGGTACCTCAGGAGACAATCGTAACAGATTTAAATGATAAAAATTTAGTCCAAACAGTATCTGGTTGTTTTCTTTTACAAAGAAATGCAAATTAAAAACATAAGAGAACGGGTTACGCCCGGATGAGAGGACACTCTACATGAAATGTAAATAAAATAGATGTTATGGCTTTTGTAGCATGCTATATGATGACCAAAATGAAACTGTATGACAAAGAACAGAATTCCATTTGAATATCAAAATGTTTCATAAGTTGAAGGATCATGAAGAATCAATATGTTAATTGAGTTAATAGTGTTAATTTTAATTACACCTTATATATTGGTCTTTTCGTAACAGGCATGGCTGCCTAATGTCTATTTCTAGTGACATACTGGGGTTTTTTTTCATATCTAAACCTTGCCATTCAATAGTCGTAGTTTCCTTGCTGATTTTTTAAAGATTAATTCAAATTCACAACTTAAAAAATTTTGAAACACAATGTCTGGTAAATTGAGTTGTCTACACGATTTTTTTTTCTGTTATAATTCCCTACCTTAAAGACACATTTCTACGGTCAAATGTTTAATTTCATGTTTGGTAAAGTAATGTTTAAGTGTATTAAGAACCCAAAATTATTTTGGTAAAATTCCATTTTTTTTTATTATTTTAGATAAAAGTTACAGATAAAAAAACATCATATTTTGTCCAGTAATATGTAGGATCCTAGTATTGTTTTACTATCCAGCACTGAGAAAAGTCTAGTTTGCTGTCTGCAGACTGAGACTATATGTTGTTGCTGTTGTTGGTAAACAACAATGTTATATGTATAATACAATATTTCATTTTTTTCAGGCTACTTTTTGCAATTATGGAGTGTTAAGTCAAGAGTAAGGATGATTTGCCCCATCCATGGGGGGCAAGCAACAGATCTGATTGTGCTAGCCTGAATAAATATGAATTCCAAGCCTGGATAAAAGACTGTACAATCAATTGACAGATATCTATATAAAGTATTGAAAGGACAAGATCAAGTTATTTTGACAGAATTATAAACAGACTAGGAATACAAGTGCAAAATGCCTGCAAAAATGATGATGGAGTGTGGGCCAAAGTGCCGGTCCAGAAAACATGCATATGAATTGAATGTTGCCATTAGTAAAGGAAATCTGTTGGAAGTTCAAGCTTACACTAATTTATGCTATAATGGGGCTCAGTTATCAGATATGCAGGGCAGAACAGCCCTGCACATGGCTGCATCATGTGGGAAGGTGGACCTGGTTGAGTGGTTGATGGAAGCCATGCATGGAGATGTCACTAAGAAAGATTTAGAGAGTGGTTGGACTGCTTTACATAGAGCCTTGTTTTATGGCCAACTTGCAACAGCAAGACTTCTTATACAGGTTTGTTTAATTTATTTTCAGTACAATTCATGAATTCTTAACAAATTAAACCAGTGTAAATTTAAATTCTTGACCTGTAGTACAAAATTATATGCACATAAATGTGTGGTTTACTTTGTACTTTCCCCATAGATTGGAAATGTTGGTAAGTGATGTGTCTTGATGCAGGCTAATATCTGTACTATATGTTACATTACCATTTAAAATGATATGGGTATTTTTGTATACTTTCAGTACAAGAGTGATTTGTACACAAGAGATCATGAGGGTCTTGGTCCTTTAGATATAGCAATGAAAGATCGAGTGTTGATAGAAAATGTTCCTGCTCCAGGTATGTACATGTATATTTGAATTTAATTACATTTGTATTAACACTATTGTCTGTTGGAAAAGAAAATATAAGAATCAACAACTGCTGAAATTATATATGTGGGACCAAGTATCCTAAAAAAAGAATTAAAGTTGACAGTTTTTATACAAAACAGGCTCTAATCGGGGAATTTTCTCTCTTAATTGGGAAGAGCCTTAGACCTTTGATTTTGGGAAAAACTATTGCTAAAATGCCTGATTTAAGAAAAGAAAAAAGCTAGTATAAGTTCAAATTTTTTGGAACACTGCATGATTTTAAAGAAACTACTGAGTCGAGGCCTTTTATAGGCATCCTCTGTTATATAAGGTGAAAAATCCATGCAAATAACGGTACTGAATTTGATATATAGTGATTTTTTTATTTTTGAATGAGAGTTTAGCCATTAACCAACTGAAAGTTATAAACATTTGACACCAATTTAGAGACAGGTCAGCATGTCTAACCGGCACTTTACTGTTTGCAGCTCAATTTTTGTATTTTGACATTGAAATGATCCCTTCAACTTTGAGTGGACTGCAAAACGTTGTAAATCAATTACAGAAATTTAGCAGATAGATGGTTAGATATATACATGTAGATATATAGGTATGTATATATTTTGTCAATATTATCAGTTTACGAGAGCACATCCAGACATGAAGTGTTTACATGGGGAGATAACTCTAATTTCACCCTTGGTCACAGCATTGAGATGGGAAGAAATGCCCCAGAGGTGGTAGATGAGTTTCGCAAAAAACATGTTGGCGTAAAACAGGTAATTAAAATAGCTGCGGTCTGTAATTTATGCTTCTAATGAAATTGTGAACGCTTAGCACCGGTTCAAAGTTTAGAACCAAACTTTCAAAGTTGTATTTAATGTTGATCCAAGTTGTTATATTATTTTCAATGCAAAAACATGAGACAAATAAAGATGTGATTCTCATTGACAGACTCCTATTCCAGGTTTCATAAATAAAACAAGTTTTTAAGTAGGCATAGTATTACAATTCATGTAAATGGTATTGAACTGTAATAATCCTCAAAAAATGTCAATTTAAGGAGCAAGGACGCATGTACTGATAGATTTTATAAGTATTTGATATAATATGTTATAGGTAGTAATGTGTAAGTACCACACAGTGTTCCTTACTACAGAAGGTTCTGTATATACCTGTGGTCATGGTCTTGGTGGACGTCTTGGACATCCTGTTGAAGAAACTTGTCTGGTAAGAAAACATATTTTTCATTTATTTCTAGTGTGAAATTTTGTTTGACTTCTATTGAAGATCTAAAGTCAGTGCTCTAGCACACTTCTCATATATTTTGCTTTGCAGAAAGTTTCAGTGTACAAAAGTATGTTTCGGCTGCCTGTACTTTATGAAATTATTTGTTTGAATTTAAACAAAAAAATCCAAAATATCTGTACGAAAGAATAATGTATGTTACTATGTATATTTCTTTAAGAATAGAAGGCCCATGCGTGAAATCAAGCAGTGTGTAAGCTTCGAATTGACTTGAAATAAATAAGTTTAAACTAAATGTTACAGGTACCAAAGCAGGTGGATGGTTTGAAAAGTGAGGAAGTTGTTGAAATAGCTGCAGCAAGAGATCATACACTGTTTCTATGTCAAAGGTATACATGTTACATTTGTTCATATGTTCCAATAAGTAATGTGAATACGTGTTATAATTGTTCAAATCTGTGTTTTGAATATCAATGTGAAAAAAGAGCAAAGTTATGGATAAAAATCAGTAATTTATTTCTTTTCTATTATATCTATACTTATATTTGCTTTACATTTAGTATAATCAGAGATGTAGATAACTTCCTTGCCATGCGTGCTTGCTAAACTTAAATCTTGTTATCTATCTGTCTGGTATAATAAAGAAAAGTGATACAACTTTTATTTTATAACTTGCATATCCATTTGGTAATATCATATATTTTTAAGAGAAATACTCATTATGTAGCTTAAATAAATTTTACATCCTTATCAGTTAAAGCACAATGTCCTGTTATAAGTGTATATATTATATCCTGTTAGTTTTATATATAGAGGATATTAAATGAGAGTAGATTTAATACTAAATTTATTGAACAAGTTGAATAAAATAAAATTATTCGAGCCTCTGGCAAGCATAATATTGTTTTATTTAACAAGTTCAATTATTTTAGTATTGAAACTACATGAATTTAATTTTCTATTTTCACATATCTAAAAATAAGAACAGTTTATTACATGCCTTTCAGTGGTTTATAGAAATCAGTGAAATATAAAACTGATATTTCACTGTTTGAAACAGTGAAATTATAAATTTGATAATTTTCACTGTTTTGAATCTAAGCCTGTTATGTTGATTCAGTGAAATACCAGCGTGCAAAGTGCTGGAAACCCAACTTAGTGACGTCGTAAATGACGTTGTGTTGTATTATTTTTATTTGGTGCTATTTTCATTTAGTATTAGATTTCTTTGCATATACTTGTAAAAAGAAAGTCTGGTTAGTTTAGTTTTCACCTTGTGAACACCAAAAGTTCATATTTCACTCGTGAAAGATACCTTTTGGTGCTCACTCAGTGAAATATATATTCAGATCTTACACTGAACTAAAAAAAATCGAAAAGTTATTACACTAGTGAAATATTGTTTTTATTAAATGGCTTTATTACACATCTGTGCCTTGGTTAATGTGATGAAATATTTTACCAACATGTTGTTTAGGTCATCCTAGTAGTGCAAACTTGTTACTTTGTCTTGTTGTTCATATTTCATTACAAGTTTGTTTAGTTTAAACATATTTTATTGCATTTAATACATGTTTACAAATATATCATACAAATAATGAATATATATCAAAATGCAAATGGGTTGGGCAACAAGTTCTTACAACATTAGATTAAGCCCTTCCCATTTCCAAGTTTGTACATGTAGCTCTTACCATGTGTTCAGTGTGTGTATGTATTTTCTAATTTACATGTGTATAATATCATTTATTGTCATTTTACTTGTTTATAGTCTACAGTTTATCCTGTTACCAGGGCCTGTCCATTTTATTTTACTATGTGATTTTTCTAGTATTTAATAGAAGTTTTATATGTGTGTTATAGTGGTACAGTGTACAGCTGTGGAACAAATTCATGTCACCAGCTAGGTCAACATCCGACCCCTGACCTATGTCTCGTTCCCAAACCAATCAACTGTAAGACAATTAAAGGTAGAAACATAATTGGAATCTGTGCTGGACGATTCCACACGGTTCTCCATACATCAACAGCGGCTTTTACCTGTGGTCTTAATGCTGGACAGCTAGGTAAGACAAAGCTGGAAAAATTCTTGTGTGAATTTATCACAAGATTGTATGATTTATTCATGTTTGTATGATTTAATGTAAAAAGCTTTTTGGGTAAAGGTTCTGACTTTTAAATCAGCTACCCCTTCCCTGCTGTATGATCTAATACCAGTCCTGTAATCCTATAATGGGTTGTTGAATGTTTTTTCATATAAAGAGGCTATTCATCTAGCAAGCTTATTGAAATTGTCTGTTTGTGCCAGTTATAAAGCACAGAGTTACATATTGAGTCCTTCTTTATTTCTAAGATATAATAACCCAGAAAATTGTGACTTGTAACTTTATACAGGTTAGTAACTTGAATGTAAGCAGACATTGAAATATCAGACTTTTTGCTTATTAACTTTCATCAAATGTCTTGATATTATGGATATGTGTAGGTCAGTTTCTTTTATTGAATATTATTAAAGTTATTAATAAACGTTTGTAAGATGAAAATTTGTACCTGCCTAAACGTTTTTCAACTTCATTCTTGTAAAGGCAATGATACAGAGATAAATGAAAAATAAATTTCCTGTTGATTTTTAAAAGGTCATGCAAAGCCTAAGGGTGACAGAAAGATAAGTCAATTACGACAAGTATCCTGGTTAAACATGAAGGAGGTGACAATAGTATCTGTAAAATGTTCCGATGCCGCTACAGTCGTACTAACTGCTGACGGAGAGATATATGTCTTACATGAATATCAATGTAGAAAAATGGCTTCTAAGTAAGTTTTATTACCTGTCTATAGGATTGTTTTTATAGTTATATATTTTCAAGCCCTATTAAGATTTCCTGAAATCTGCTAAAAATGATAGTATGGTTAACAGTGCATTGGTATTCTGCTTTTCTTGATCATAGAATGTTATATAAGGTTTTTCAAAAGATATGTGGACAGTTCGACTCATTACTAGTGTAATTCTAGCCTGAGTTTTAGCATATTGATTTTTAATGTGCTTTTGTTTCGAAAGTCAACACTATTGATACTATCAATAACACAAATGAGTATTAAACAGCGTGCATGTTATGAATAAGCAAAAACAATGCCTGAATCCCTGGCTAGTGTTATACATTCAAATTAAAGAGAACAATTTACAGCAATGTTACACTTAAGTTTGGATATATACTAATGGGTGGCTTTGTATTACTGAAAGACTACATGAAAGCTGACTTGAAGTATCCCTTCACCAGTAAAGTTTGAAATATAAAACCGTTGAAGAGTCATAGTGACTAAAATCTCAATTTACAAGATAAGAATGATCAACATTGATAGTATTACAATACATGTATTAAGACAAGATTTCTTGGTTTCAGTCGTGCAGATATTCAGAGGTTATGTGTGGTCGGTGGTAACTTAGATCATACAGACTCACAGATTCTGAGGGAAAATGGTGGTAGACAACTCATCATCAGTTATCTTAACACCTCGGGCAAGGTATAAGCTTACATTTTTCTGGTGTTTTAGCATCTACTTAGGAAGAATTGTCTTAAAGTGTTTTCTTTTAAACTTGAAATGCCTTTGAATGTCATATAAGGAAACATAGTTGATGCTTTTATTTTGGTCAACACAACTTATTTTTTGGAGTTGCAAATGAGATACACTACAAAATAATAAACCACATATTCATTCTTACAAATTTCAAATTTCCTTTATTTTGAGTAAAAGAAATTACAAATAATTTGAGCTACTTTTGATCAATTAAATTGGAGTTCCTTCTATAGATATGTTATTTTCTTTATAGTCATTTCTTTAACAGCCTTACCTGTTGTTCTTTGTCAAATAAACTTATATTTCATGACAAACTTGCATTGGTTTTAATTCAGAACATGCACTGAGTACATGATATCAGATAAATTGAAATGTTTATCATAGGATTTATTTGTACTCAATAATAATGAGAAAGTATAATTATAGGTGTTTATCTGGCATGAGAAGAGTCCTAGTTTGAAGCGAGCTCATTGGCTGATAAAGAGACAGTTGTATGTAAAAGATTTCATCCTGTCCGAGAACAGTGTTGCCATAGTAACAGATCTAGGTGAGGTGTTTATATGTCCAATGTCTAATAAACCGACACCTGTGAGAGAATCTTCAAGTGTTACAAAAGGTTTGTCTATTATCACAATTGTAATATTGTAACTTAGGAAGAATTAAATTTATTTTCCAGTCAGATAAAAAAAAAATTTCACTTTTCATAATCGTCATTGTCTAAAAATACAATGGAAAACATTCAGTGAACTTTAGAAGATAAGAGCCCATTTCCTTAATAACATGGCATAATTCAATGAAAAGCTGCCAAAATTGTGTTGTAATTTAAAAAAGCATCCCTCCAGATTCTTGATAATTTTCATATAAAAAAAATGAAAATGTATTTAAGGCATTAAAATATTGTCAAATCAAAAAAATAATTTTCTCATTGCAAACAACATGTTCATTCCATTAAATTACCAAAAAAGGGTAAAATTATGCAAAACTATCCCCTACTGCATTAGTCACACAGTAGAAATATGGTGATAAATACTGCAAAATCAGTCATTAGTTGCATATAATTTGTAAATTATTTCTTGAATTGTGAATATTTCTTATTTTTAGCTCACCTGTCACAAAGTGACAGGGTGAGCTTTTGTGATCGCTTTTCGTCCGGCGTCCGTCCGTCGTCCATCGTCCGTCCGTAAACTTTTACTTTAAATGACATCTCCTCATAAACCACTAAGCCAATTTCATCCAAACTTCACAGGAATGTTCCTTTGGTGGTCACCTTTAAAAATTGTTCAAAGAATTTTATTCCATGCAGAACTCTGGTTGCCATGGCAACCGAAAGAAAAAGCTTTAAATATCTTCTTTTAAAAAACCATAAGAGCTAGAGCTTAGATATTTGGCATGAAACATCTTCTAGTGAGTGTCTACCAAGTTTGTTCAAATAAAAGCCCTGGGGTCAAAATTGGCCCCGCCCCTGGGGGTCATTGATTTTCCCTATATGCATATAGTAAAAACTTTAAATATCTTCTTTTAAAGAACCCAAAGAGCTAGAGCTAAGATTTTAGCATGAAACATGTTCTAATGGGTGACTACCAAGTTTGTTCAAATAAAAGCCCTGGGGTCAAAATTGGCCCCGCCCCGGAGGTCATTGATTTTCCTTACATGTGTATAGCAAAAACTTAAAAAATCTTCTTTTAAAGAACTCAAATCTTTTAAAGAACTCAAAGAGCTATGGCTAAGATATTGAGCATCAGACATGTTCTAATAGGTGTCTACCAAGTTTGTTCAAATAAAAGCCCTGGGGTCAAAATTGGCCCCGCCCCAGGGGGTCATTGATTTTCCCTATATGCATATAGTAAAAACTTAAAAAATCTTCTTTTAAAGAACCAAAAGAGTTAGAGCTAAGATATTTAGCATGAAACATGTTCTAATGAGTGTCTACCAAGTTTGTTCAAATAAAAGCCCTGGGGTCAAAATTGGCCCCACCCCGGGGGGTCATTGATTTTCCCTATATGCATATAGTAAAAACTTAAAAAACCTTCTTTTAAAGATCTCAAAGAGCTATGGCTAAGATATTTAGCATGAAACATGTTCTAATAGGTGTCTACCAAGTTTGTTCAAATAAAAGCCCTGGGGTCAAAATTGGCCCCGCCCCGGGGGGTCATTGATTTTCCCTATATGCATATAGTAAAAACTTTAAATATCTTCTTTTAAAGAACCCAAAGAGCTAGAGCTAAGATATTTAGCATGAAACATGTTCTAATGGGTGACTACCAAGTTTGTTCAAATAAAAGCCCTGGGGTCAAAATTGGCCCCGCTATGTGTATAGCAAAAACTTAAAATCTTCTTTGAAAAAACCCAAATAGCTAGAGTTTAGATATTAAGCATGAAACATCTTTTAGTAAGTGTCTTCAAAGTTTGTTCAAATAAAAGCCCTGGCCCGGCCCCAGGGGTGTCATTGTTTTTAACTATATGTGTATAGTAAAAACTTAAAAAAAATCTTCTTTTAAAAAGCCCAATGAGCTAGAGCTTAGTTGTTTAGCATGAAACATCTTCTTATGGGTGTCTACCAAGTTTGTGCAAATAAAAGCCCTTGGGTTAAATTGGCCCTGCAACGTTGGGGGGGGGGGGGTTGGGGGGGGGCCTATATACAGGTGAGCAACCTCAGGGCCATCATGGCCCTCTTGTTCTTAAAATCTTAATTCATTTCTCTCAAAGTTGATTTTCTTGAAATGTTTGGTTCATCTGAAGGCATACAAATTGGCAAATCTACTTCATGCACAAACATAGACTTGTTTAGTTTTCTTAATATTTAAGAATGATACTCATTTCTTAGTGTGACTATTTTAGAATTTGAATTTTAGAATCAAATGAAGGAGAATTTGGGCGCATGTCACTGATGGATTTATTGATGCAAGAGGAGACGGAGGAACTACAAGTTAGAAAAGTACCAAACGTACATCGAGCCATGTATATAACGGGAGATAAGAAGGGGCGGGACTTTGCCACACTACAAACTATGCCCAATTATTGGTAAAAAAAATTATATATCGCTTTTCATATAAATGACAGAAGATGTTCAGTGCATTGATATTTGTTTTTATAGTCTTATGACAAAATGGTCATAGATTTATAAATTTAGCTTAGTATTATCGTATTGATATAAACTTATACGAATAGTTGAAATCAAGTATTAATTAAAGATACATGTATTGACAGTATGCATGGAAATATTATATATCTATACTCAATTTTAAAGAGAGCTTTACACTGTTGGCATTGTTGAAAAAATAAAGTATTTTTTTTGTGTAAGTGTCAATTGTTATCATGGGTTTTTAGATTTGATCGAGGGGAAATCAAGATCTATCATTAACTGAATTAACTATTGAACCACAGCTTAAAGATGGTTAATTGTTCTACAGCTGCTTGTATATTGCTGGAGTTTGCTATTTTACTCATTTATGCTGGCGTGTTGCCAATATGTCATAAATAGTTTCAGTGGGAATTATTAATTAACTATGAAATAGCTTTGTTTATTTACTCTGTATTCTTTTTCATATGCTACTCTTTCTTTTAGAAATTGCATTCTTACTGTAAATTTTGTTGCAGTTTAACTGATGTTCCTTCAATCAGTGTCACAGAGATGACTGAATGTTTTAGTAAGCTTCTAGATGAAGTGGATGAATATGATCTCATACATGATCTGATTCTACAGGTAAAATAAGTTAGGAATCTTTGTTCTTCAAAAACTGAATTCTTTTAGTAAGATTTGCACTCTAACAAGCTAAGATCCTACGTTCTTCATATTGTTGCAAGTACATTAACTTTTTTATTTATTTTATTTTTATTTTTTTGCAAGTTTTGAAATTTCAACCAGATTGTGGTACATGTTTTCTAAAATTGATGCAGCATTCACTCATGATAGATCATTCTCTGTTACTTTTAAATGTGGCATAACTAAGGTACATTAAGATACTGGTACAGAATACAAAAATGCTCTTAACAGTAAGTTATCAATTTACCCCTTAACCCAATTCAGCCATGAATTAATTATGGAACATCAGCAATCTACTCAAGTGCACATTAGTGCCTGAAATAATCCTCCACCAGCAAAGCTGGAATGTAGCCATATCACCTATACTGTGTCTGTGCAACATAAAACCCAATCAAACAAACAGCAATGAATTTATATAATGGTTGCAAAAGTTTATTTTCTAAACTTAGCTTATATAATAATGTTGAGCTTTTGTAGCAGAGTGATCATTTTTCCTTTTTTTTTGCTGCGGACTTAAAATCACATTGTTCTAATTTATAATACCTGAAACAATGCACAGAAAGGTAATTATTAACCTGGAAAGGGGAATCATAACATAAACTGTGTCACTATTATTTAAAACTGAACTAATCTTAATTAAAATGATCAATTTTATAGGTACATGAACAGAGATGGCCTGTGCATAAATATATACTTGTCAACAGATGTGCCAATTTTCCTAGTCTTCTTGCCAACAAATCACAAACTTTGAATGAAATGGACATTCCTGTAATAGAACTAAATGACCTTCACCCTCAGATATTAGAACAGTTACTACAGTTTGTATACACTGATACATGTGATCTCTTAACTATTGGTGCTAAATTTGTGTTGTCTGAAGAATCAACAAAACATGACGAGATATTTCAATTAGACTTGGATGATTTTGACGGAGATTCTGAAGTAGTGGCGGGTAATAAAAAACTGTCTGCATATCATATTGTACAGCAAGGGAAGAAGAAAAAGAAGCATGCAGGAAAAGAAAATCACGAGGAAAATCACAGTCATGAAAGAAATCCAATTAAACTTTTGTTAGATGTTGCGAAAAAATGGGGAGTGAAAGGACTGGCAAAAAGGTATGTTCCAAATCTTTGTTGTTTCTTGGTTTATCTTTTCTATAAAAATAAAGAAATATTAAATTATCTGATTATAAATGCTAAGAAACTACAAATGGCTTAAAAAAATTAATGAAGTTTAGTTGTATTACATGGCTAGAAAAAAGTTCTTTTTACTGCAGAGAGACTTTTAACAGTCAATTTAAATTGAAAACACTGAATTTATAGTCTTTGTTAATTGTTTCCTTAAGTTTACAAAAAACTTATTATCTGATTTACTTGCAAAAAAGGTACTTTGTCCATATAAGCATAAGTATAATGATACTGTTTTTCATTGTATTGAAGTAGGAAATTTGTATACTATATTTCTGTTTGTTTTAGACTAGGATGTGTGAGTTATAAAAAAGGACAGATTTGCTCAGCTGGTAAAAGCATACCTAAAACAGCACTCAGGTTTGACAGAAATAAACTTAGGTGAGCAAATAATCTTTATCTTTCCATCAAAAACCAGGTTACTTTTTTAAAACAAAACCTTCAGAGTGTTCTTAATAGACGACTCCAGGATTTGAAACATATTCAGATTGAATAAGTATCAATAAGATGTAAAGCTACAAATAAGCACTGTCATTGTAAAAAGTGTGTCATGATTTTTTGTCCCAAAACATAAACAGTGTGCTATACTGAAAGTAACAACATTAATTTATACAAGAAACTTCAGTACCTTTTCTGCATGATTTAAAAAAAAATGTTAAGTGAAAAAATATTAGAGTAACATGACATGATAATGAAAATGGACAGGTTTGCTAGATGTATAGAGCATTCTGGTACATGGTATATTTCTTATCTGTATAGAGCATTCTGGTATATTTCCAATCTGTATAGAGCATTCTGGTATATTTCCTATCTGTATAGAGCATTCTGTTATATTTCCAATCTGTATAGAGCATTCTGGTATATTTTCTATCTGTATAGAGCTTTCTGGTGTATTTCCTATCTGTATAGAGCATTCTGGTACATGGTATATTTCTATCTGTATAGAGCATTCTGGTATGTTTTCTATCTGTATAGAGCATTCTGGTATATTTCCTATCAGTATATAGCATTCTGGTACATTTCCCAGCTGTATAGGGCATTCTGGTATATTTTCTATCTGTATAGAGCTTTCTGGTGTATTTCCTATCTGTATAGAGCATTCTGGTACATGGTATATTTCTTATCTGTTTAGAGCATTCTGGTATATTTCCAATCTGTATAGAGCATTCTGGTATATTTCCAATCTGTATAGAGCATTCTGGTATATTTCCAATCTGTATAGAGCATTCTGGTATATTTCCAATCTGATAAGAGCTTTCTGGTGTAATTTCCTAATCTGTTATAGAGCATTCTGGGTACAATGGTATATTT